ATAATGCATTTGTTCTTTTTTATACTCAAAAATTTACTCAAATATATATATGAATGAAATATTTTTGTATTTTTTACAAACCAGTCTCTTTTTTTTGTGTTTTTTGTTTTGGTGTTGGTATTTTGTTTTATTATTACAGTTTCATCAATCAATAATGTGAGTGAGTGGGTGGGTAGGTGATTGGTTGGTTGGCTCAATAAATGAACCAATAGAATTTAAGTGCTGTTTTTATAAAGCTGATTTTGATTGGCTGATTTTTTCAGCAGAGCATGGGGGATGTAAAAAACGAATAGAGAGGCTTGATTCTAATGTGGCACTGTGGTATCGATGAAAGCTGAATTTTTTTAGGATTTGTTGGTCCATTATTTAAGTTATGTGTTTTTTATCAGAATGGGTTTTGTGGAGAGTTTTAGAAATTTCACAGGTTGAAATCATGAGTCAGTTGAAGCTAGACCACCATTGAAAACCTGGAAGCACTGGACGGCCGTTTCGTCCTGGTATGGGACTCCTCATCAGTGCGCATCCACGATCCCGCACCACTGCTGAGGAGTCCCATACCAGGACGAAACGGCCGTCCAGTGCTTCCAGGTTTTCAATGGTGGTCTAGCTTCAACTGACTCATTATGTTTTTCTTCTACCATCTGCTGTTTCTCACCTGCTTTTGCAATTTACATACAAACTACTAAATAACAGTCAGTAGTTCGAATTGCAATTCACGACTTGTATTGACGCAACAAGCCGATTTCCTAATTTGTTTATGCCTTTATTATTTAATAAATTATTGATTACTGTATGGGTGCGTCAGGTGATTCACGTGCTCCTGACTTGATTTGTATTGACGATTGATAGATCAGTTTTCGGATGAGTATCTACAATAGAGACAGAGTCGATCGTGTATGCAATAAAATCGTTCAGTGTACCTTCTTGGCAAACTAATGTCCCGTTGGTGCTCAAGAGGAATTGAACGTCCTTTTGTTGAAGAAATTGGCGAACCGGTTTCACCTAATATCTTGGAATTATCAGTGTGATGAATGTAGATCTAGATCGACTGAATTGAATGAGAACACTAAAAGTGGATGAATGTGGATCGTGACCGATTTTTCGTCATGTCATTGACTAGTGGCCACGATAATCATACAGATCTCAACGACGTACTGTTTACCTAACAACATGACTTAGTTAAGCGATTAATGACTTGGTAGAGTGATGCCACATTTTGTATGATAACTGTACATTATCAAAAAACCTGATTATTAGAACTCTGTCTCATTGAGTTAATGGTAAAATGTTGATTGTATGACTTCGAATTCACCCCAAGCTGAGCATTATTATGAAATATACTGAACCAGAAAAATAAGCAGTTACACATTTATCGGCGATACTTAATAGTTCCAAACTCTACCATTACTGTCAAACTAGACATGATCAAGAGAATTCAGTATTTTTTTGGTTGAGATCATGGACCGACTAATGTTAGACCACCGTTGGAAACTTGAAAGCACTGGACGGCCGTTTCGTCCTACCGTTGGACTCCTCAGCAGCACGCATCCACGATCCCGCTCGCGGGATTCAAACCCAGGGCCTTCGGTCTCGCACCTGAACCCTTAACCTACTGGACCTCTGAGTCGGCATTCAGTGGTGATAGTGTCTAAGATCAACCAATCCACGAAATTGCGCGACCAACTTTCATGTCTCGACCCGACATGCATTAGCTCCACTGGTCACGGCTTCCATTGTCTTGCACAGGAAATTCGGTAAGTAATGTAATTTATCTTAATTTATATGCAAAAACCCCTTCATGTATACAGTGTGAACATTTGTTAGAACTGGTGAAAATAATATCATGTAGAGTATCTTCTGTGACTGTTGACCAAGATCACATGATAAATCATCAATCCGAAGCCTGATTCGAATTTGGTCTATTTTTCGTTCATTATTTACTGTATGACTTAGCGTCTCTGACATGGCAACCAGTACAATTAACCTTGAGTTAACAGATAAGTTAATATTGGTTCACGATTCGTCAGCTTCTCACCTGAGTCTAAAAGTCTGCAACCAACCTCTAGAATATTTATAATCCAGAAAAAAATAGTGTCGGCTGCTATGTTAAGCCTACAAAGGTTATTCCAGATTCTGAACAGATCAATCTATTCCTTCTGCTCAAGTCACATTTTTACCCTGTCACATATTCGCTTATTAACCTTTGATTGTTTTTATGTAAGTGTATGTGTGCATTTCTTATTTTACCCATCACATGTTTGTAACTTATATTTGTTCCACTGTAAATATCAATTCATGCTTGGCTATATTGAGTTGGCTCACACGACTTCTTTACTGCGCATCATTTCGATTCGCTCTTTTCTCTTCGTTCATTCGATTGTTTGTCCAGATCAATGAGTGTAAAAAATATACGTATTCAAACATCTATTCTCGTATTTGACTTGTTTAATTCCGTTGTTCACTAATGCGAGGATTGATTATATGTATATTTCAATAACAATCATTCATACAATATAACTGGAGTCAGATTTAGTGCCGTTAAAGTGGTGTGCTCGACGTGATATGTGAACACGAAGCCTTCCAATATGGAGTCAAATTTAGGGACACTAAACACTGACATACCAGACCATATCATACCATAAAATATAAAAAAAATAACTATATATGAACAAGCCAAAAGGTAAAGTGTGAATAGGGGAGACTATAATTTATGGACGACCTTTAAACAACGATAGAGTAGTGACCTTAGGAGTATCCACCTGGTAACTAAGATCAAATGAAGATGTGAGGAATTAGACTTATGATTTACAGTTGATGATTAGAGTTAGGAACTAGATTTAGAGTTTTCATCACGAAATGATACCAGCTATAATGCCAAAACTCTGTTTTGGACGAGTAAATTTCGTGCCAAAACCTGGGACCTATTATCCCAAAGCCTAATTGATATGTCCATAAATTATAGTTTCGCCGAAAGTTGTTTTAGTGCAGTTACATTTTCTGAATTGAAACTTTTTCATTTTCTTTCTAGGTAATATAAATTCATATCAGAAAGGTTTTGTGGATATTGTAGTAATTTCAATGGTTAAGATCATGAGTCAATTGAAGCTAGACAACCATGAAAAACCTGGGACCACTGAACGGCCATTTCGTCCTATTGTGAGACTCCTCAGCAGTGAGCATAAATTCAGCAGAAGTTTTTAGATAGATCGAACCCATCACCGACGAAATTATACACAATCTAGAAAAAAAGATACTTATTTACATTTAATTGAATAACTTTCTATGAAAAGCAAGTTCTTTTCAGTAATAATAATATTCAGAAATAACATAGTGTTACATCCTTGACCTGCCTACCCACTTCTATGCAGAGAAGATAACTTGTCTAAATCTGGACTAAGACCTTGACGTGATAGACTGACTGGCTTGACCTTGAGGGGTTATTATGTGTGAGTTCAAAGTGACATCAACTATTTGAAGTAGAGAGACAAAAACTATTCTATCATCTGATTGGCTGACAAGCACACAAGAGAAAGAGGAGACGAGTCAACTAGAACACAACTCTCTTTATGCCCAATTCAGATTAGTGTAAAAAGATACATCAAGACTTCTTTATTCCTCTGTTCATATCACATACACATCTTAAAGTGACTTATAACATTGCTAAAAACTGGTACCTAGTTAATTTCAAGGTTCACTTAAAATATTTTATTATCATCCAATCATAATGATAATAGTTTGGTCACGAGGATAATAACCATGGTTCCGCACGTACTTTTCAAGGTACTTCGGTTTGTGTGTTAATATCTAATACTCATTAAATAGTACTGGATATTTTCAACGTCAATCTAAGATAATAACTATAACAGAGTAGAATGCTCTAGAGCAAGGATTTCTTATGCGAAGGTTGATAATGACTAGGAGTGGTATCCAAGACGTGTACTTCTTCTTATCTAGGACTTGTTAGCTGGATGAAACTGCACCTGTGTCGATGCTTGCGCTGGAACTAGAACACACTACTTCTAGCTTCAAACGTCCAACGCGTTATTCACTTACAAAGTGAGTCCTTAACATAAATGGAAAGATTCAAATCATTACAATTTAGTACACAAATATGATTCTGATGTCATACGGCTTTGGCTTTTACATAGATACAAATCTTGAATGGTAAAGGATGGAAGCAAAAGATTTGTCGTTACTTGTCAAGCGAATGAGTTAAATCGTATAAATAAAGACCCAGTTAGCCCTACTGGGTCGTAAGTTTAAATGTTATCTTGCACCTAGTTTGGTTCCAATTGGTAGTTCATCTTTATGTTGATAGGAGACAAGGCAAACATGTGGTTTTGAGGAATATGATATCATCTTTAGGGTTTTAACCAGCATTACTCAATTTCAGTCTGAAACATAACAACTAAGCTATTCAAGTTGCGACCGATCTTCAGTACTAGTAGTAGTAACATTGACGTCATGTTTATGTATATGTTTTAATGGTGAGCTTGAGTGCTGTGAGAGGTTTTCGGGCATTTATCACTTCAAGTTGGCCTAGACATTGGAAGGATATAAAACGAAAACTGGGTTAGGATTGGTCATGATGACTAAGGAGTGTGACGACAGAGCTAAGGGGCTAAATATCTGGTTGAAAGAGATGAGTGCCGTTCTTAGGATCGACCAATTTTAACTCTCTCCTTCCATTGTGGGAAGGTAGTAACCGTATGTTATTTGTAAGCTATATCTTGTTGCTGTTAAATAAGTTGTAGAGCCAGTACTGTGACTTTCTCCCTTTAAACCTTAAGTTATGTTTTAGTCTTGACGATATCCTCATCCGATCACTCTGGCATGGTATCATTTAAAATAACTCGATTGGGTCATCACAATCTATTGGTACGACCACCACATCTGATACGATTGAAATAAACACTGATCAAATCGTACCAAGTTGTAATGTAGTAGTCATTATAACTTCAGCACAAATGCATTGTGTCTTACAACTCAACACAATGGAAGATCTTAAGATTGTTGATTTTATTATACAGAAATCATTAATATACACAAAACAGACAACATGACAATCTAACACAATAACCAAAACACACACACATACATACACTTGAACATACTGCAAATAGTTGTCATATTGACAAGAATATTTAAATAGTGCGAAAGTATACTCAATTGGAGTTATTATCATAGAGAATGGAAATGATCTGTCCCATTCCTTTTAGGTGCGCATTCCCCTCTCTCTCTCTCAACATATAAATGTGTACAGAGTCTCATCATCAAAACACAAACTTTAGTGATTGGATAAACAATATACAGAAAAAAGAAGAAATGGAATGATTGTGCACACAAGAAATTATTAAATTGTACTAAACGTTTATTCAATACATACATACACACACACACACAAGCACAAACATAGGTGCTGATAGTTATGAAAGTGTAAAAAGAAGGAATAGAAAATTCTGTGGAAGAAAAACACACACTTTATTATCTTTAATGACTGCTGCCTTTCACCAGTTTTGTGATATGCAATAATTAATGATTGTAATGCACATATTAATAATGAGGTTCTTTCATTGAAACAAATAGGAAGGTATACATGGTGATTAGGATAATTTTGGTCGTTTTGCATAGATTATATCAGTAGGAATAGTTGAATTGGTAGTAACAGTTAGTTTATTTACTATTGTTGTATTACCATTATTAATAATAGAAGATGGAGTTGTATTAGTGATATGAAAAGAAGAAGGATGAATTTCAATTGGTCTATTACAATTAATTGTTATTGTTGAAGATGATCCAGGTGGTGATTGTTTTACATTAATTGAACGTGGAGTAGTAGCAGTAGTAGAAGCAATAGTAGTAGTAGCTACACTAGTTGTAAATGGTGTAGAATTAGCAAATGACGACTCTACAACTACTGATGGTTGTTTTGCATCACAAAATGTAGTGACACGGACAACTTTACGTACAGGATTAGGCTAAATTTTTTTTTAAATAATAAAAGCAAACAGGAAAATCAGTTATTTACGACAATAATCCTTTTGATCAATTTCAATAATGCACTAAGAAGGTGGTATTTAACAGAATTAATGTGTCCTGGTACGGCCGAGAGTGAGGAGTCCGCTCTCCCTCGCGAAATGCTCTCACATGGCCACGTGCATACAACCACTGACAGGGAAATCCTACTCACTACCCTCTCGTGGCGGGGGTGTTGTTCACGAAATTGAGAGGACGAAAAGCGAATTTCTGGCACTTTAACCGGGTTTGTGGACATGGAGAGTCCACCTAGGGGAGTGGAAAAACCCTCATTCCAAACCAATGGTGCACATGGGCTTCAGTATCCTGAAGGAACAAATGGCGTATGAACCAATCGTTGGTCACCGGCTTCCATGGGACTGCATCTCCTCACGATGCTCCACTGCCTTGTGGATCAGACCTTCAGGTCGAACGCTCCGGGGTGGCCCTCTAAGAAGACCACCTGCTTCGGTTTGGGCACCCGAGCAGTATCATAGCCCTCACACATATTGAATGAGATGTGTGGCGTATATGTATTCGGTACCTCCTTGTACCAATGTTTATGTGTTTAAATAAAAAAGAAAAAAATGTGACACATATATGTAAGCTAAATATACCCATTCACAATGATTATGAGTGAACAACAAAACAATATCCTTGCTTCACCAAGAACTTAAAGGGCATGCAAATAAATGCGTCACATCCTACTGTTTACCAATTCACAACTATGTGTATGTGAGTGGATATACATACTTTGGCGGAACAGTAATTGTGATTCGCAAGTCAGCTCGGCTGAATATGTACTTAAACAGTTGCAAATAAAAATACAATCAAATGATCTAATAAGCGCAGATGACAAAAATCTGAGGACCTGTGAAGTGGGGTACGATTCGTAGTCACTAATTTTCAGGTTTGAAGCCCGATCCACTTCGATTCGGGAAACGTAGTATTGGCGTGACTTACTAACAAGTATCTGGTGAGTGTATCTAAACCTTATCTAAAAACTCAACTCCTTCCATGACCTAACATTGTTGTTGAAACAGAAGATAAGATAAATCGCATCTCAGTTCTTGTGGCCTTGTATAGAAGCTGTCTGGTTTCAGATATACTATGTATATTTGATACATATGTTACCTTAACGGATGATGTTTGCTAGTGCGGACGTAGGCTGAAGGAAATCTAAGGGAGAACCAACCAAAACTTGGCGTCAGTTCATGTGAAGCCACTGGCTTGATCTGAGCTAGGACGGTAGGTGAAGACTACCTGAATCAAGTCCACGAGATGATCGTAATTAATGGTTGCAGATGTCGGGTAACATGGCTCACTATCAGTCACAACGACGCCCTCATGTATAACCTTATATTCTGTCTTTTCAAACCATATTTTCAAGGTTTTTCTTTTTTATCGTTGCTACTATATTATTTCGATCTCTTCCATTCCTATCTCATCTTCCTAAAAGCTGGTATAGTAACTTGTGTCAATGCAGATTTGTGGCAGGCTCTCTATGTTGATGTTTGACTTGTAAGTCTATCTATAGTTCAATGCTGATTACATAGACACTGTTAGTTAACGAATGAGTTAGGAATATTCACCGTATAATTGTGTTCTGTGTACTTAAATAATCTTTATAAAATTTTTGATTGAGATCACGAATTGATCAGTGTAAGACCACCGTTGAAAACCTGGAAGCACCGGATGACCATTTCGTCTTAGTATGAGCACTGCTAAGGAGTCTCATACTAGGACAGAACGGCCACCCAGTGCTTCCAGGTTTTCAATGGTGGTCTAACATTGATCGATTCATAATCTCAACAATCCTACACTGACTTTGTAAAAGTCATACACATCTACATACGTACAGAAAAAGTGTTTCAGTCCATAATTTCAAACGAAAAAACTACACCTACAAACACAATGACTGTATATTTCCCTACTTTATAATTGATTGATCATTGAGTAGTTAGTAAGTACTAACCAATGTCATATTTATCTAGTCCTTCATTGATGGTCGAAGCCTATCAGTCACTCGTTTAAGTGGTTTAACATTGCATAGAACAATATTACGCAATCCGACATTGATCATTACTACTCGGTGATTAATTAGTAGTTTTCTACTTGTCCATCTATTTTAACGGAAAGATGGTATGATGGAATTTATGCACTAAATGGTATCTTACACAAGAAGGTCATTTATAAGTATTGTAAACGTTTACAGGTAGATGGAGATGTATAACAGTTACGCACCATTATTTTTATACATTTTCTAATCAGTATAGGGATTTATGGAGATTGTAGTGTTTTCACAGTCGAATTCACAAGGTTAAGCATTCGCATGTGGAACTGAAAGTCCTGGGTTCGATTTCTGAATGCAGGATCGAGGATGCATACTACTGAGGAGTTTCATACTGGGACGAAACATCCGTCCAGTGCTTCCATATTTTCTAATATTAAATATTTATGCCTTGAACAGATATATAAGAGAATTAGTTTATTATGAAGTATTGTATATTTTACAATGAGAATCCTCTGTTGACATGATGCCCTACAAATTTTGCCGGATTTTCTGTTCTCGTTTATTTTTAAATCTTCATGCAAACCTTACATTTGAATTAACGAGGAAAATTTACTGTTAAGATGGATACTTTGATGGATATGTTCTCTGAGCTGGATGATAGTATAATTACGAAGTTTGTTATATCATTCCGTTCAACGATATCGGAGTTCACTTTATTTAAAAGTAAGCCTTTTAGCAACTCTGTAATTATTATATCTATCGATTTCAAAGGCCAATTACAAACAAAGGAGGTAGTATATCGGAACGAAATGATTTGGTACTCAGAATGACAATAGGAGATCCGTAATTAAACTATCTAACTGAGTACACAACACTATTAATACGTAAATATATATACATATATGATATATTCTACCTTACCATTGTTACGATTGACGGTGGAGAACAACTACCAGTGGTTGTCGTTGTACTGGTTGATATTTTATCTTTATTGGATTGTTGAACAGTTAATTCAACAGGTGTCGACGAACTAATTTTATCATTATTGAGTAGATTCGGATATTTTTGAGTTAACTTCTCTAATTTATTTTTATTGTTATCGGTTCCCTCGTCAGTGTTCTCTACTACCACTTCGTCGTCAACAATATCATTATTGTTATCGTTATCATTGACAATAACATCTTGAATGTTTGACTGTTTTTCATGGCTTGGTTCATCTTCCATTTTCAAAGTATCTTTCTTCATGCCAGTAGTATTAGGCATATCATCAGTTGAATCTAATGATTGAGGTATCAGGACAGTAGAAGTCGCAGCGATTGAAGAGTTTCGACAATAAGCTTGTGCTGAAGCATGTGCTTCTTTTAACATGGCATTTTCATCACCTAATGAATCATCCACTTCATCTTCATCGTCTAAGTACTCATCAACTTCTTCATCGAAATCATCCACTTCTTCGTCATCATCATGATGATGATCCATGACATCTTCGTCAACAATGACACCATCACTGTCTAATTGTTGTTGTTCCCGTCTATTTTTCTCGCGACTAACAACATTATTAGTGTTAGTGTCCGGATTACAATCATCATTGCCTACAACAGCAACACGGTCTTTAGTTAAATTAATTGAGTGCTTTTGTTGATGAAATATAGGATTTGTATGATCTACATTATTATTGTTATCATTAACAAACGGCAAATAATTCGAATTATCATGTTGTGGAGAATCATGTACTGTTGTATTACTATCATTATTATTGTGAATAGATTTAGAAGATTTCCCAGGAACATTACGATTGTCCAAATGTAATCGATTTTGAGCACAATGTTGTTGAGTAATATCCTGTAGGGTAATAACATTTAAAAGATAAAAAAGCAGTTATTTTGACTTAGGTTTAACATATTAAGGATCTTATCAGTTAGAGACTAAAGCATAAAAACTCCAGAACTTTATGATACAATGTTGGGTAAAGTAAGGAGTTGAAAGAAAACTAGGGGTGAATAAACCAAGACATGACATCAATTTACTTAGTCAGTAACATATTGATAGGCACAGATTATGTGGTTGAACTGCGTGTGATAACCGCGATTGGTGGTTGGACAAGTTGAATGACAAAGCTTAGAGTTAGTAACCTTCACTATAGACCCAAAGTACTAGGTGAGTGTGGCGAATCCATTGACTAGGTAGTGAGTCGTTATCGACTGAGATGCTTAGAACACGTATCACATACAACCATCCCCCGATTACCTCAACACGTGATGCTGTCTAGTGTAGGAGTAAGTCGGAAGAAATTTAAGAGTAACCAAAGCAAGACATTACATCAGTCCATGAAGTCTGTAACAATCGGCCCGAGTCATGTAGGTAGATGCAGACAATCTGGATGAGCTCCGCCTGGTTATCGTAACCAACGAGTAGAGGTAGGTAACATGGCTCAAAATCGTTCGCAATGGCACAAGCGCAATTACTCTTTGTCTTTTCTTGGATCCTAAGTTTCCATATTCATCATCAGTTTTTTTGATCGAATCTCCAATGCCTAACCATTAATACCGTTACTACCTGCATTAAATTGGGATTCACCCTGAAAACTTCATCTCGTTGCGCTGATGTGGTATGGCATATTCAACATGTACCAGGTTCTAGATTGAATTTGAGTGACTGATCCATGGGGGTTTCGAATGCTGAACCACAACAGAATCACACAGGCCAATACAATTTAATTTACGAGTATTCATTGTAGAATGTTTACAATTTTCAAATATTGAATCTCTCAGTGTATGAGCAGTACTACATTAAGATAACCAAGTGATGTATCCTAATTAACTGAATGAAACATACATTTTGGATTCCACTATCCGCTATTCGTTTTGAACAGATCATAGTAAAACTTCAAAATGCAGGTAGTATAGAAGTAATATTGCTTAATTTAAACAAAATAAAATCAAATTCTGGATGTCGGTAGTAACGAGAGAATAAAAAATCCCATTAGAAGTAATAATGAATCCCAGAGCTGATTAAAACTCTCTGTCTATTATGAAAACATCATCATTATAAATAAGTTACAAAAATTTCACTTAGATGGCTTAGAGCTGTAACGATTTAACAATACCATATAGTAAGGAGGTTAGAAAAATCAAGCCTAAAAAGAATACACTTCACTTTGCCTCATAAATTCCTATTACCAGAAAGTTTGAGATATATAGAGCTAACATATCAAAAACTAATCCCGAAACGACCACGTGTGACTAGTTTCAAGAAGTTGTTTTTGGAAGCCTCAGTTATGCTACCAGGGTGACAAGACCATTCCACTGCTAAGAATCTAGTTCTTTTTTTCAGGTAGCTCAATAATATCTTTTCACGATGTGAACCTTCAGGAGTTAAAAACTGCCCTTACAACTTTATCCACCGGAGATTACGTTGTTATCAATCAAACTCAACAATGTATACTGCCCATACCGCCATCAACGAATTTCTACAAACATCAATAATGATTCTGAGGCTCAAGAAAGCAAAATAGTGAGTAGCATTCGACTACTTATATCTCTAAGTAGTAGTATTTGGTCGAATCAAAATCTCAGACGTTTATGTAGGTTAATAGTAAAAGGAAACAGTTTCCAATTATCTAATTGGGAAATCACACTTTTTCTATTTAAGTCGAGATAGTTAATTAGTACAACTAGCGTGCAGCTTAAAGACATATACAAACAGTCGGTAGAAAACAAAGGACCTATGTTTCTTGTTAGTTGGTATTCATCTGTACGTTGCGCCTGTAATCTTTAAGGAATTGACGCTACGTAACAGATTAAAATCTTAGTCACCCAGATTTACAATATGAAACGTCGCCACTGGAACATTCAAGTCATGACTGACTTCCTGTTGTACGAAGATGTTTATTATAGAGATTGGTTATTAAGTAGTGAACAATGTTATCTTTGCCTAGTCTTTAGAACCGACAAATTCTATCAATCAAATTACAGTTTTGTCTGGATAGCTGAATGGTAAATGATTACATCAACATATGAGCTTGGTGAATTTCATTATTCTTGAAGTCTCCAAGGCTTTTAATGAAATGATTGATTTACTTACAAAACAGATTTATTTACCTATCACCACATAACTAACAATCATAGTAATTCAGTTCACGTATTTATTGAATACACAATGTATGAGTATCGTCTTACTTAAAACTCGTTAGTATTGATACTTGCATTGAGACTAAAAATGAGGATTTTTTTTTGCAGCAAATACACCAACACGTTACCTACTGAGCCATTGAGTATTGATGACTAATAATTTGCATACAATAATAATAATACTTACTCTACCCATTTCACCCATAACAGCGACCGGTGTCATGCCTAAATGTGCAGCGACTTTGTGCTCAACTAAATAAAATATATACTCATCATATAATAGTCGAATTAAATGAAAACTGCCAAAACTCGATGCAGATCTCAACGTCAGATCTCTAATCACCATTGAACTGATTGGTGAGGGAAAAAGAGAAGAAAACACAGTAGTAATAATAATACGACAATATATACACAAGGAAAATGTAACTACAACTTGTAAGAATATAGAAAAGATGAATAAGACTAGTCGTTTAAAGATGTGGTAAATATGTATTTATGTACAGTAACCATAGTTTCAGATTACGACACCATCAGCTCAATTACTCCTATTTCAGCAACCAGATAGTGTCGTATTAATAGCCTTAAAACAAATGATACAGTTCAATAAAGTTCAGGAGATTAAACTTACGGAAGTTTTGTAAGAACACATAAGTATACATATCAAAAATCAATCTTTTAGCAGGAGAATTTCTTGTTGATTTAGAATACTCAGTTGATATAGTTATTTTTGGTGAAGACGCTGAAAAACTCCAGTCTCTTGACCACCTTGAGCAACAATACAAGTATGATTTCAATGTGTTTCTCTTCCTTCTGATTCGAAATATTACTTCAAGTTTGGCCTGAGTAAACGCCTAAATTAATGATGAGAAGTAAACTATTGTCCACCAATTCACTTATTTTAGGGGTCTTATCACTTTTGGTATGTTGATGTCTGACGAAATTTCTGCTGATCCCTGCCAACTTGTGTCAATCGTGGTGCAAGTGAGTTATCCGTCTACCAGCTAAAGGATGATAATACGGTGCAGCACTTAAATTCTTTGTACTTTATGGCTATGAAAAGTAGGATACTTGTTGATTACTAGTATTTGATTAAAAGTCTCCTTGAAATATCGATCATATATTTTGGAAACAGCGAGTTAGCAACCTTCACGTTAGACCCAGAGTATTAGGTGAGGGTGGGAAATTCAATGGCCAGTTAGCGAATCGTTATCGATTGAGGTGGTTGGGATAAGTATTATGTGTGGACATCCACCTGCGAATGCGACACGAGTTAATGGTAGTACAAGAATGGATAGGAAGAAAGTTAGGGATGATTAAATCAAGACATGACATTAGTCCATGAAGACACTCACAACTGGACTAAGCCATATGGGTAGTTTCAGACCACCAGGTTGGGGTCACTGTGATTATTATAATCAATGTTTTGGGTAACATGGCTAGGCATTTTCGGAATAGCGTGGGTGCACTTGCTCTTCATCTTCCCTTACATCCTAAGTTTTTAAGTACTTCATCAATTTTGTTTTATTTCCCGAACCATATCTGCGATGCCTAACCGATTCTATTACAATTAATATTGTTACTACCGCTACTACTCTGGGATTTGTTTGACCTGATAATTGCATCTCGTGCTAATGGGGACATAGCAGCTTGAACTGATGTACACATATGCAGGGTTTTATGTTGCTTTTGATTAGCCGATCGTTCACTTGACCCATATAGTATACGGGAGCTTAACTATTTCAACTTGAAAGAGTGGGGTAAGTAATAAATAGTATGTTTTAAGCAGCACATGTAAAGAAAACAACACTAGTCAAAGAATATAACCAGCGTAATACCAGTATGTTGGCTGATCAAAAACAACCGTCAATAAGTCCTAAAGACCTAAGTTTGATACTATTCAACACTTATCCATACGGCATATATTATTATTTCACCTCGTGAGATGTGTTCAAACTCATAATCATAACACTGAGCTGTTCAACACCTGAATAATCTCTTCTTGTAGGACTAAGACATCCTCATCCTATTTAATCTATCACTTATTTATCCTGTAAAAGGATGAAGTGACAAAACGATCTAAATAAAAATATATGCATGGATTTCTTTTGCAGGAGAAATACCCCACCTCGTACACCGATATTCTCATGATAACATCCATGTATATCATGTCCTTTAGGATCGATCGTATGTTCAAAGTAGATACCATCGGAATTCAATTTGATCCTATGATAAGAATACGTTTTATAAATTGACTAATCAGATTTGAGATGGTGGTCATGAAATTTTTTCATGAAAACTAGTGTCATGAATTGGTGGGGTTATATTGTGGTGCATGCTACTTATGCTGACAAATATAAGTAGTATGTAACACTAATCAGAAGTGGGATAATTGCCAGCAGATGATTGAGAATATCGAATTTTGAGGGAAATGGGAAGGGAAATAGAGAGCAATTGGAATAACAGCAGAATTGAAAGAATTATGAAATATGTAAAGGACAACAGAAGAAAGATGTGCAAATAGTGTCATTTAATGTAATGATTTTCATAATTTACGAATACACTTTGTAATTTTGTATTCAACGATAAATTAGTTCTCGTTCAGTACAATATATTACTAATAAAATTAATAACTAATAAATAAGTAGAACTGAAAAGAATGACGGGAGTGAGGCATAAGGATAATGTTTTATGAAACCTTGAAGACAACAGAAGAGCCCCCAAATGCCCTGGTATGGCCGAGAGTGAGGAGAGTTCGCTCCCACTCTCCAAATGCTCTCACATGGCCACGCGTGTATAACCTCTGTCAGGGAAGTCCTACTCCCTAACTTCTCGTGGCATTACTATTGTTTACGAAATAGATAGGACGAAAAGCAAATGTTCAGTGCTTTAACCGGGTTGGTAGACATGGAGAGTCCACCTACAGGAGATGGAAAACCCTGATTCCAAACCAATGGTGCACATGGGCTCCAGGATCCCGAAGGAACAAATGGCGTATGAACCAATTGTTGGTCACCGGCTACCATGGGACTGCATCTCCTTACGATGCTCCACTGCCTTGTGGATCAGACCTTCAGGTCGAAGGCTCCGGGTGTGGTCCCCTAAGGAAACTAAATGCTTCGGTTTGGGCACCCGGCATAACCACAGCCTTCACACATATCGAATGAGATCTGTGTGGTGCATATGTATTTGGTGCCTCCTTGTACCAAAATCTATGTGTTAAAATAAAAATTAATAAATAATAATCATGGTATTTTTCTTTTAAAAAAATGAAAAAACTAACTGGTTAAATGTTTATTTACATATGTCTATAAAGGATATTTTGTTTCTAGTCTATTTTTTTCTAATTAAAACATTCAACTTTAACCCTTCTTAAGAATGCTAAGTTCCCAGAAATCACTAAGTAAACATTTCATTTTTGTAATCTTATTTTGGGAATTAGAATTTAGCATTTTCGCACCAAAAGCGCCCGCTTTTACCTTCAATTTGTATTTATCACTTGGAAGGACTTTAAATATCATTAGTTCGTCTCCTATTTCAGTATGCTATTTTGTGACGTTTTCCGAGGACATTTTGGTACTGTATATATATACGTATGAGTTGTGTGTTTATTCTTTCGTGCTTCTGACTGTTTGTGGAATATACATTTTCTTTGACTGAATTCGGTATTCTCCCTCTAGTTTTTAGAACTGGGACAGAGTGGAATAATTTAACTTATTCTGTTGTTGTGCTTCTGACTTTTGTTCCGTTTGCCGGTTTTAGGTGATTTCGTAATCACTTCAAACATAGCAATAATCTTAACATCTAAACTCTAAAGCCTTATAACTTTAACCAAAGCATTTTTAAGGGGTTTTTATGTAATAAATTATTCACTTTCTTAAAGTCATTTTATAAGCTATTGAAAGTTGTCAAGTAAAGTGTGTATTTTGTCCACCTTTTATTTATTGGCTAATTTGAGGCATCTGAAAGCCATGATGTTAGTGATTTAAGAATAGCTTGGATAAGAGGTCCTACTACTACTAAGGAGAAAACTAACATAGCTCAGGTTTTTTGGTTATTTATCATCCAATTTCTAAGAGAGTGGGGTTAAATACAAGGATTTTATGCGAAATAATCATTCCATTGATGAATCAATCAAACTAGATACGATTCATAGATTATGCAAAACATTTGAGTCGCATAATCAATGTTTTCGGATTTTTACTAGTATAGGAGAATTTTCATAGTTTAAATCACGAACTAGCTTCAAGATGGAACTTCTGGAGTTCTGGTGAGGCCATAACCAACGCAGTTCAGCTTTGACATGCAAGAAACGATTAATTATCCATTGAAGGCAATGAATAAGGGTTGTCTTTATTGGATGCCGTTTCAGTGGTTTAGAGGTCAAGCATTTACGATTTAGGTTCGATTCCTTGTGGTTAGGATTGTGGATGAGCAGTTGTTTAGTGATTTCAGGTTTCCAATGGCCGCTTACCAAGAAGATTACTTTGTAATTTAAACTATGAAAATTTTTGGATTTCTTAATTCAATTATTCAAAACTTACCTGTAAAAAGACCATTTCAATACTAGTTGATGTGCAGCTCTTGTATAAGCCAAACTATTGCCTTCAAGTGGTTGTAAGATGCTAGTCACTACTGTATCTAACCATTGAGCCCATTCTTCCAGTGATGCATGCTTTTGTAAAATACGTTTAAAATCATGCTCTAACTGACTAACAGTAGAATCACTGCATTGACATACCCATGAAGCTTGTTCCTGTAGATAGAGAGAGGAAGAAAGAAAAGTAAATAACATTTGATAGGAGAGGTATTATGGAGGAAAAGTGAGGATAACATTTCCGGTAAAATATGTTGTACTTTGGTGGAGTTGTAGTTTACAACAAAATAAACTTTATCATTAGCGCTTATCTCATATGGAAATGAGTTTTTAGTTATTTCGCATGATATGTCATTAATATGATAATACAGATACATGTAGACAATTACGTATATGTATTCAACTCAGTCAGTCATACACAATGTAGAACCTGACACATATGTGTGTCGATTCAAGTTGCCATACCAAATTAACACAGATAAAAACTACCACAAGAAAAACTCCACAGTAGTAGTAGTGGAGAAAAATAAAATATAGAGTATAATATTTCAGGATCAGATTCTGGAAGAATTCATCTAAGTGATTGTGAACAATTTCAAGCCATGTCACCCAAAACATTGCTCACAATAATCACGCCCACCTCAACCTGGTGGTCTGGACCTACCTACAAGAGTCCGTTCAACAATTAGTATTTTGATGGACTGATGTCATACCATCGTTTGACTATCTCCAACTTCTTCCAGCCTGCTCCTGAATCGGCCATTATTAGGTATCGAACTAGTCGGTTGATATCCAAACGTATTACATGTCACAAATATCTCAGTTGATAATAACGCATTATTTTATCAATCGATTTGCTATCCCTACCTAGTACTGTCTAACGCGAGAGTTGCTCAATCAGTGTTTTAAAAATGTACGAGCAATACTTCGAAGATATCTATGATCGAATACAAGAAATTTACGGATATCCTTTAATCTTAATGGCCAGATTTAACACATATAAAGTAGAACGGAGCAAACTGTTGTATAGAATCTCAACACGAATTTAAAAAGCATGGTTGGTTTTTTACAACTTACGTCACTTGTGACGTAGGCAAACAAAGGACAATCTTAAGTTTCAGAGTTATCCTATATCTTTTGTTCCACGAATTCATACAGTTTTCTATGCCCATTATTTCCTATAACTAATTATTCTGTTAACCCATCACAAACAAAGCCGACAGAAAGAACTGATTTAACGCTTGTGAAATAAATAGAAAGCTGATAATGTTGTTATCCAGGACAGAAATGAAAGATCCATATATCAATCACCTAATCTCAGAGAACTTAATAACACTGAAAGCAACCACTGTAACTATAAATCTTCACCAAGATTTCAATCATGCTGCATGACTGAAGACCATTGACAGAAACCTATGTACGTTGTAATTGTCGAAGATGAACATTAAATTACAGATAATATTGAAAAGTATGAAATATTGGATGTTTTGTGCCATAGCTTGAGAATCTTTAGCAGCGCATCGAAATCACAATGATTTCATATATTCAACTGTAATCAATTTGTTTACTTCTAATGAATCTCCTAAACTAGAATGACGAAAAAACAGTGTCCTCTAGTCTTCCTTTTTTCAATAGTGTTCTGATGGATGATAATTCGAGGTGACATTAACAGCATTGGACGCCGGCTAAGTAGTCTAGAGGTTAGGCGTTCGTGCGCGAGACCGAAGACCTTGGGCTGGATTCCCGCGTGCAGGATCGTGCATGCGCAATGCTGAGTTCCATATTAGGATGTAACGGATGTCCGATGCTTCCAGGATTTCAATGGTAGTCTAGCTTAGGTGGATTAGTGAATTCAAGTGAATAATATCCCTTACATAAGAACGATTATTACTACTATAAATTTCATGAATTAAATAACGAAGACGCATAAACTGATGATTAATGAAACACATTTTTTACAATGATACCACATACTACAACAACAAATGAAATACTCACTTGTACATTATTGAAATCGACACGATTTAAATCGGCCAACATTTGATTAATTTGATTAGCATTTTTTAATACAGCACGAGCAGCTTGAGCTAAATGATTTAAACTAGTGTAACGTCGAAGAGTTTGTGCTAATGCACATACAGCGGATATTTTTAAATTAATAAGATCTGTATCTAAACCTTGTATAGCTTGACGCATCCAACCCTTGTAAAAAAATATATAGGAGAGAACAAATTGTATTAGTGTATAAAGTTTGTGAAGATTAATGAATCGTATCGTTTGCATCATAGATTCAATTTAGTTAAACAAATACTAAAAACCAAAAAGCATTGGGCAGCTGTTTCGTCATAGCATGGGGCTCTTTATAAGTGAGCATCTACAAACTCACCGAGAATTGAACCCAGAATCTCCAAATCTTATAATTAACGTTTAACCTTTATATCACTAAGTCAGTATTCAAAGGTTTAGTGGTGTATGTTACTTATGTCTTTCAATATAAGTAGTACGTAAGACTAATGTGAAGTGGAAAACCTGGCAGCAGGAGGCAAAGAAAATCGAGTTAAAGAGAAAAGAAGGGAAAATAGAAAGGAATTGTGGACTGGAAGAATCATACAGAATGTGAAGGGTAAATGATGGAAATTTGCAAATGAATTATTGAGTGTATGGTTCTTATATTTTACTAATAAACTCTGTAATTTTGTATCAAAATACAATTGGTCATCCCCACCTGAGTCTCACTAATTACAATTTATATTCCTAACTTCAGTTTATTCGTGATATAGCTCAGTTGTTCTCTGAAACAAACCATTAATAGATAACTGTCTCCATTGGTTGCGTCGATTCTCACTAGAAATTTGAGAATTATCTCTTGAAATTAACCCTTGTGGAGTAGGTGATTATTATTAATAACCAATAAAAAATCCATAACTTAGCAACATACAAATTGCAGTATCTGAATGAATTAAACACATGTTGTTTGAGGTTCCCTTATTAGTAAAAGATGTAGGTAAGTTCGTTAGAAAGTAGTAAATTAAACAACGAATAGGAATAATGATGTATCGCTGTTGACTATAATGAAGAGTGTGGCAGCATTAACATTTTCAGCAATGGTGTTTTTCTATACGAACAGAAGATAAAACATATCTGTCCTGAAAAACAAACTTATTAATACTTAACAGATTCCTAGTCTAGATGACAAGGTTTGAAAACTATGGAGATAATACAAAAACATCGTGTGTCTAGCTTTAAAGTTTTTTTCGGAGGTATCTGGCGGGGTTATTCGAATAACAAGATCAAAAGTGTCTTTCTTCATTCACTTAAAAAAGAAAGGAGCTTCAGGATGTAAGTTATTGAGAGCAATGAGTTGCTCTTGGAACCCTAGCTAATGTAGACGATCTTTTCCTCTAAAAAGGAACTTTTCTTGGACTACTGTTTAATTACATTACTTTTGATAAACATTTGCATTAAGTGTTCTGTAGAATATATCCTAAATAAAATTGTAGATTACATTACGAAATGACTTTAACTAACAACACTGAATCCCAACTCAGTGAGCGGTCTAACATATACTCGCTAAGAAGCCTGAAAGTGATTAGTTCGAATCTCTGGTAGGATTTTGCGTCGGCAATTATGAAGAGCCTCATATTGGGGCAAAACAAAAGTTAGCGTTTCCTAGTTTTCAATAGTTATCTAGTCGACAGATTCAGTGGATTTTCATCACAAGCTGATGTCAATTTGTTAAGGAATATTAGATGCCAAGAGAAGAGGGAGGGAACACTGAACTGCTAATTTATCGTAATATGAAGTAATAATAGTCTTTCTTTTAAAAAAATTGGCTCACTTCAAGAGATTTTGCAAAATTACGAATTGCTTGTGTAAGAGTTGGCGGAATAGGTCGAAGTACATTTGGTATTAAAACTTCAGCTAATGATTGATAGAATGTATGATCATAAAGTCGAATGAATTGTAAAATGGCCGGATCGGACACGAGTGAATATAATCGTTCTTGTGATAAACTTTGTTTTAACCGAGAATCCTACCAATAACAAAAAATAAACAAAACTAACATAAATATTAGACTTTGAAATTATTTGAATAATAATTCGGTGAACTAAATGAAAGAGTATTCCGAAGATTGTAAAGACCAAAATCCCCAAACGAAGAAACTGTCTTGATCAATCTTACTTGTAGAGGGGAATGAGCGACTGAAAGGTAGTCATGTATGGCGGTGGTTGCAGGTAATCGACAGGAAACCCTGCACGACTTAGGTTTCGTGCTAGTTGGGAATGACAAGAAAGTTATACTTATAATCCTAAGGGAACTTCCTGGAGGGTTCGATCCCATGTCACTCAGCCTCAGTAAGAGACGTTACAGATACACCTTGGTGATAAGTACCTAATGGCACGAAATGTAGGTTAAATTTCCTGTCGTATACCTCCAATCATCATCACCTTACATCTCATACATATATAACATAGTTAACTGCTCAATAAGCAATCAAGTGTAATTGACGTCAGATCTTTGCATATACAATTATCAAGGATCTAACAGATAATGGATATGAAATATCTCAAACGTGTACATAACAATTGATTAGCAATGCATCCAGCCTTTACTCTGCTTTTTAGAAGCCATCGCTATCACGTATACAGAAAAGCGAAGTAAACCTACTTAGTCCCAACCAAGCAGTTGTGAAAGATTTGAGATAATGCAATTCAGTCAGTCATCAATCACTGATTACAGGAAAAGCATGGGGCCCAACCAAGAATTTTATATCAAAAGTCGCTGACATGATATTACCATTGCTCGTCGGAGAATTCGAAGGCTGATGTAATTGTGATGCATCCCTCAGTCGATGAAGTTTTATATACTCATAGACTTGACTTTAACGTATACTTTTATGTGTGAGAGTTGCTTAGTCTAAAGCACCTGAGCTGGGGTTTGAACATAACCTGCTAGTGATTGAAATTCAAATGTACCACAGTCTCTGGGAAATTTGCTTCCCAACGATACTACCCTATTGATGATTGAGAATATTGTGAATACATGAATATATATAAATACAATTGAATAGTCGAAAAAAAATAATCGATAATATTTTTAATACTTACTCGTACTTCTTCAGTGCACCAAAATGCTTTCCATACTGTTTCAATTGAAGTAAAATCTAAATTTACTACAGCATCAAGCATATAACCAGCGGATAAAGCGTAAAGACGACAAAATGTAATTACATCTTCATTTGGTGATAAATTATTCGATGTTTCAACTGTTTTTAAACGACTTTTATTCTCTGGCAAATCAACTGATAGATTGTAAGAAAATAAAAATAAAACATAAGAAACATCATTTAGAAGAATATTCATTCTATGTAGTAATGTACTTGTCATTGAACATTTTCAACTAACAATGATGAATTAACGATAAAGGTAAACTGTCAATTAATTTCCCTTTTATTTTTATATTCAAAAATTATCCTCAATACGTGGTTCTGAAGGTGAATAATTTATGTTAAACTTTCCAAAGATTGATCTTCTATATAGACACTTTCAGATACACACATAGGGAAAGAAAGATTTAAAGTATGGAGATGAAATTCACTACCTTCCGAATACCTCAAGGACATCCAAGATCTGTGCTCCTATGTTTTTTCTCAAATGAAAAACATTACTTTGGAATAGATATGTGCCAATGCCTAATTTGATCACAGAAAATAAAGTAGTTGGTCACACGGTGATCGGTGATCACTATCAATATTGTGATTCGAATCACACCTTAGTAGATGATGACTGAATAAATTTAAGTAGGAGACACAAATAAACGTTTTGGTTTTTGTTATATGTTTTCGACATTCATTGTCAGATTTTTCAATGGGTTGATCTCTTATCAGGAGACTTATTTGTTGACTTGGAATACGCAGATGAAATAGTTCTGTTGGATGAAGATGCTCAAAAATCCACTCTCATAAATAATTGAAGCAGGAATGCAAGCATGTTTAGAATGCGATTCTCTCGCACCAAATACAAAATATTATTTCAGGATTAGCTTGTGTCAGGACCTGAATTAATTATAGGGAGTGAAGTAGTTGAGGGTGCCGAATGCTTCACTTAAATTGGGAATCTCATCAGTCCTGATGGGCTGGTGTCTGACGAAATCTCATCTCGGATCATGAAAGCTCGATTAAACTTTGCCAACTTGCGTTACTTGTAATGTAAGCGAGATATACATCTACCAACCGAAGGACGAATTTACTGCCCAGCATTTCGCTCCGTTCTACTTTATGGGTGTGAAACCGCCATCAACAAAATTGTAGATTACTAGTATTCGATCATAGGTATCTTGGTCGAGCATTTCGAGACCACTGAGTTGGCAACCCCGAGGTTAGGCATGGGGTACTGGGTAGGGATAACAAATCGACTAGTGAAGCAGTAAATCTTCATCAAATGAGATCCCTTGGATACGTGTTACGTACGCTCAACCACCACCTACTTAGATGGGCGATGCTGTACGTTGTAAGAGTAAGCTAGGGGCAGATAATTCAAAACGTAGCATCGGTCCATAAAGCCACTAGAAGCTGGACTGAGTGATGTTAATATGTGTAGACTACCTGGTTGGGGTCCGCATGATTATCGTAATGAGTAGTTAGAGACTCAATGAAATCACTCAAAATTATTTGCAAAGGCGCAGTTGTATCAATTTTTTGTCTTCTAAGCTTCGAGATTCCGCATAATTTTTCTGATCTCTGCTATTACAATTACTACAACCACACTACTCTGGAGCTTACCTACAGGATTTCATCTCGCTGTGCTAATAAGGTACGGCAATTTGATGTGCATAAGTACCAGGTTTTACGTTGCGACTAACTGGTTGTAACCAGGGCGGTGTCCACAGAACTGCTGTGGAATATGCTTTGGGAAGGTGTGATGAGAATGCTATTAACTCCTTTTAATATACGTATCTACAAAATACTGACTACGTATAGTGGAACACATTGGGTGACTAAATGGTTAGGTTTCGATTAGAATAATAAAACGTACGGAAGGTGGATCGATTGATAAGACTGTGAAATTTTGTTAAATAAGACTATTTAGGGGGGGGGGTTATAAATTTCAAAAAGGTGTGGATGTATCTTGATTAAGTCACGGCATTGTCAGCGGTCAGGAATGAATAATCGCATATTCAAATCAATTCTAACCTAGTGTTATGACGGAAGAATTGATTTGATAGAACATTGAGATCATCGTTCCTCCAGATATCCTGGTACGGTCGAAGGTGAGGAGAATCCACTCTTCCTCTCAAAATGCCCTTACACGGCCACAATTAGGGAAGTCTAACTCACTGCCTTCTCGCGGCATGAGGGTTTTTTACGAAATTGAGAGGACAAAAAGTGAATGTCTAACGCTTTAACCGGGTTGGTGTATGTGGAGGATCCACTTAGGGGTTGGAAAACCACAATTCTAAACTAATGGTGTACATGTGATCCAGGATCCTGATGGAAAAATGTCGCACGAACATTCATCGACTCTACTAAATATAAGTTAGTTTTTTTGATGAAATGAATCAATTATGAATTTATATATAAATAGATAAACAAGATTGTGTTTCTTACCTTCACTTGGTACAGGAAGACCAGATGATCGGCATATTTCATCTAGATTAGGCAATGCGGAACTAGCTTCACCAAGAAAATGTGCATGATGTTGACCATTACCAACACCACTAGAAGATAATAAAGGACTTGTTACTGAATTTGTAGTAACACTATCAACATTTTGACTAGTGGAATGTGAAGAAACACTTCCACTACCAACATAAAGATTATTATTTAACATTGATTTATCTGAAGAACGGAATGTTGTCACTGTTGTACTGGTACCGTAATGAGATAACTGAGAATTACTACTACTAATATTACTACTGGCATTACTGCATGAGATATGTGATGTTGAATGAACATGAGATGCTAAATTACTTAATCCAAAAGAAGTGTTCCCAACTCCAACACCTCCACTATTGACTCCATTCCCATTTGTACTTAAAGATTTCAATCGATTTAACGAAGAATTTGTGAAATTTTTCCATTCAGCTGCAGCTTCCATTGTTTGACGATGATAATTAGGATAATGTCGAAGTGAGAAACCAGCATCTTCGATAAAATGATTTAAAGGTGAGCTTGGCTTAATACGAATACCATAATAATGATATTTAGAATTTCCACGTGTACCTAGTCGTCGTGTACGTAGGCCAAAAAATACTGAACGTATTAATTTACCAAATGATGCTGGATTCATTGGCTCTAATTTATGTTCATTACAATGTTGTAAATAATGAAAATATAATGTACTACGTGGAAGACTAACACCATCAGCTGTCTCGTAATTATCAACAAGCCATTGAACCTAAAATATGATAAGAAACAATTTGCTTTATTAGTGAATAATGTTGAAAAAAACAAGTTTAATATGGGTCAAGGAACAAATGCAACATACATATACCATTAGATTGTAAGCTTTATAAATAGTACATCATATGGATTTCAGTCGACAGCAGTAATGTATATTAATATACGAAGCTAACACATTAAGAACTCTTGACGAAAAAGTTGTATGTAGCTGGGTTTCAGCAGCTGTTGTCGTCTGAGCTCTGTTATCATTCTCCTAAATCAGTAAGACCACTACTACTACTATTAACCTAGTCTCATTTTCAGATCCCTTAAGAATAGTGTGTATACAGCTGGGAAACGATAATCACCTGCCGACATTTGGAACACCATTTAAGATCATCTTGTTCATTGATTAACTAACTGAAGATTATGTAAGATGTACCAGATCTAAGATTTATCGAGTAAGAGTTTAGTTTTGTGTGTATAAAACAGACAAAAGACATTATGGTACAGTAAGGTAATAACAATAAGGTGTCACACAAAATATTGTAAAGAAACAAGAGATGGAATTGATTGTATTATCAACATGTGTATCAGTGAACTAGATTGGTATTTAATAAATGCATTACATATAACCTACTACCGCCTACCCTGATATTTGGTTTGGCAGAGTAAGGGGTTAAGTGCGAAGATAGCAAAGGGTGGTTGAACTAGAACATAGGATTAGTGCATGAATTTATCGAACGGTACTCTGAGGCAGATGTGGTTGGGATCCGAGTGGTAACTATGGTCAGAGGTTGCAGACGTTGGGGGAGATGATTAAAAGTCAGTCGCAGTGCCACAGATGTATTCATTGTTTGTTAACCCTTTAGGTTTTGAGCTTTAAGATTATTTTATACCTCTTATTCTTAGTTCTCGAATTACATTGTTCCAATATTGGTAAAGAATACACAGTGAAGCTGCTGAAACAAAATTCGTAAAACATGTTCGAAATACTAAAGCTGTTGTTTGTAGATAATGAAATTAAGTGCATTATCATAATCAGTTTGCGAAAATGCTCAATGTTGGACCTCGACATTATTTCCACGCTCTTGTCATTGAATGTAAACAATCACACAAAACAATATATATCATCAGATCGGAGGGAGCAAGTTTTACAAGCATACAGCAGAACAAAGGTCGGTGAGGCATTGTATATTCAACCTCTTACAGATAAACTGATATTATGACGGCATTAGAGATGGCCTACATTAACACATAAACTACTTCAAACTCCATTATATGTAGAGCAATCTCCTGTAACATCAATCGTGTTAGCAAGATATTGATTGGATTAAAGAATATTCCGTGCAGGATTGTTTATTTATTTATCTAAACACATAAACATTGGTACAAGGAGGCACCAAATACATATGCGCTACATAAATCATTCAGTTTGTGTGAGGGCTGAGATAGTGCCCGGGTGCTCAGACCGAAGCAGGTGATTTTCTTAGGGGACCACACCTCGAGCCTTTGACCTAAAGGTCTGACCCACAAGGCAGTGGAGCATCATAAACAGATGCAGTCCCATGGTAGCCGGTGATCAACAATTGGTTTATACGCCGTTTGTCCCCACAGGATACTGGAGTCCATGTGCACCATTGGTTTGAAATCCGGTTAAAGCGCCGGACATTCGCTTTTCGTCCTTTCAATTTCGTAAACAACACCCCCCGCCACGAGAAGGCAGCGGGTAGGACTTCCCTGGCAGAGGCTGTATACGCGTGGCCGTGTGAGAGCATTTCGAGAGGGAGGCTGGCCCACCCCACTCTCGGCCATACCAGGGCATTTGGGGGCAGGATTGAGTTGGAGTACGTTGATTGATCATTTATTAGTCAATCAACGTTAGCGGATACTTGAAGAAGACTCTAGAATATCGTGCAAAATTATAAATATACTAACATTTTTCTTATTGCGATTCTTACTCCCATTCAACCTTGTTTATTTTGAATATAATTACGTTCCTGTTCAACCGTGTTCTGGTTTGGCGACTTGTCAAGTGAAGTAGTGTCCAGGAATACTAAGCAATAAGAGATCATAACTAGTTGTAAGATTAAAAGGGGATGGTGAAATTAAGTAAACTTGTTTGTTCAACTCCATTTTTCGACTGTAATAATGAGAAGACGTATTGGTGTGCCTTAATTCTGCCTAAGTTTGTTTTTTTCTGTATAGACTTCAAAATGTTGGTAAAATTTTCATGAGCGTAGCATTCTTTAAAAGACAATCCCATCGTAAGAGTCCATAGAGCTTACGAAATTGAGTTACAGGTATATTGAACAAAAAGTTAACGATTAAACAATGGAATAAAACCAATTATTGATGGTGAGCAGTTAGAATCAGTTGAAGAGTTTGTGTATTTGGGTAGCTGTGTAAGTGCTGGTGGTGGCGTAACTGATGAGGTCAACTTACGTATAGTGAAAGCCAGAGCGGCTTATGACAGTCTGAGCCATGTTTAGTGCCTTTGCGATATTAGTTTGCCTGTAAAAGGTCAGGTTTACAACGCGTCGATGAGAGGCTTGCTGTATGTTTGTGAAAACTAGCCTCTCTGAGTTGAGAACGTTAGGCAAGTCTTTGTGTTCAACCATCGTTGTATCCGAACGACTACTGACACTCAATGGTGACACCATTTTAGTGCTGCAGAGGTTCACCAACATTTATTCGGGTAAAGTGGCAATAATCTAGTTACTATCATCACCCCAAAAAAAACACCAGCCTCAATGGCTTAGACGTATGCTACCAATATCGCTTTAGCTGATTTCACATCGTGAATTATTTGCCGACGCTAGGATTAACTGCAAAAAGCGAAGAAGTGGTCAGTTTATGATATGGTGTCGTGGCATGAAAGGCTGTACAGAAGTGACATCCGTCAGACCTTCACGACTTCTTGGTCGGGGTCTTAGAGACAATACAACACAGTAACATGGCTCGAAATAGAAGTCACTAGGAGAAACCTTTCTGGTTATATTTTTTTCTTAAATGAACTGCTTATTTCATTGATTTTTTCACCTATTCACATTTTTATCAATTGGTGTTTCTTTTGACTCAATTATACTTACTTTTTCCCCACCTCTTAAAAAACTCCTTTTCTTATCGCTTAGGACTAGTACCAATATTTCTGTGTTTAAATATAGACACATAAATAATGAAATCACTACCAAGTACTCAATATCTACTTACAGTGACAGGACTAGCTTTTGCTGTATGGGATATGGAGGATCCGTCATCATCTAATTGACCACTTTGTACTAAATATGTTGCACCTTGATGTGTAACTAATTGAGCGTGACCAACACCAGCTGTGGCAGTTAAATTTGCATGTGCCGCCGCAGCAGTATGTAAGGCACCAACATGACCTGTTGCACTATTCGCTGCACCAAACGCAGTAGCTAAAACCTAAAAAAATTCCAAAATAAATTAGACAGATACAATACATAAAGATGGTGTAAAATTTCGTATTAAACTATGACGCAGTAATTCATCATATTTTGGAACAGAAAGGAAAAAGTATACAGTTCAACAAGGGAACAATGGATAAAACCCTACATCCCCAAAAACTGCATAGTGCCTTAAGATTCGAGGGAAGGAGGATAGCCGAAACTGGAATGCATGGGAAGATGATACAGAATGCATTTATACCACTGTGACTGATTATTAACCATTTAACAGCTCAAGATCACCAATAACTAGTGATGTTCAAATGCCCCGATATTTCCAAGTACAACCAAGGGTGGATGGATTTAAATCTCACTCTCTTCTATTCACTGTCTTCATACTATAGAGGTTTTGCTTACGAAATCGGGCCCCTTTGTACCAACGTTCACATGTTTACGTAAATCAAAAATACAGTCATCACGTGAACCCCAGCTAGTTAGTCTAAGCCTATTCACACTGACAAGCGGTTAATGGACTGAAATCCTGTGTTTATATAACCGCCTTTAACTTTCATTCAACGTACCAATCACTCCTAGCCCTGACAATACTGAGCGTTTAGATACGTAGGCGGTGGTTGGGAATATATAACACATATCCAAGTGGTCTTAGTCGATAATAATTTAGAATCTTATTGACTGATTCAGCACTTTTTTATGTAGCATTTAACCTCGAAATTGTTTGAGCAATGTCAACTGAAATAATAAAAATATTAATAATCATTTGCTTATCCGTGGGTAACTTCAAAATAGATTTCTGAATACATTAATGAGAAATTGGGATCAATGAAATCTAATCAGAGAGACATATCATTAATAACTTCAGATAAGAATTGTACAACAGTATAAAAATTGAGGTCGAACACACTAAAAATAATTATCACTACAGGATTTGAGAATGTCTCAGAGAGTCGTAAATGAATGTTCACTACTGACCGACTAATCCACCACATTAGATCAAAATGAAAATCACTTTTGATGACTATTCAAAATAGTCATAATAATGAAGAAAATACTAACTTGTCCATTAGCTGTTTGATAATATGTTGGTCCGCCTGAAACAGGAGCATAAATAATCGGTGTATATTCTTGATATTGTCTAACAAAAGAAATAAATGGAGAAAAAAATATTCAACAAATACGTTGTTAGTAATAATACAATGTAAAATATTATTTAGATATTTAATAAAGAAAAGAAAAACAAACGAAAACCAATAAGATAAACTCAAACAAAATCATATAACTGTTGTACAGTCTGTTCAATGGAATAGATGAACTGAAGCGGTTATTCAAACAATTTATGATGATTTGATCCAATTTAAAGTCCATAACATTGGTTTGTTTGACATTTCTTTTATTTCATGAAAATACATTCACAATTGATTCGTTAATATAAATATATATATATATTCCTGGATGTTCATAGAAGTTAAACTCTCCAGTTATTTTATCATTTCATGTTTTATAGAATTGTATACACCAATGATTTATTTCTGGGTTTCAGTTAAAATTGAAGTGTTTTGTAGTCTTCGTTCACAATTACCTGATCCAGTCTTTGTAAACAGCTGGGGTTTTTTTCTTTTTTCAATAAATGATCTATAATATTTGATACCTTTTCTAAGAGTACTTCTTATGTTTCATTAAAGGAGGCACATAGATATTGGTACAAGGAGGCACCAAATACATATGCGCCACACAAATCTCATTCGATGTGTGAGGGCTGTGATACTGCCCGGGTGCCCAAACCGAACCACGTGGTTTTCTTAGAGGGCCACTCCCCGAGCCTTCGACCGGAAGGTCTGATCCACAAGGCAGTGGAGCATCGTAAGGAGATGCAGTCCCATCGAAGCCGGTGACCAACAAATGGTTCATACGCCATTTGTTCCCGCAGGATACTGGAGCCCATGTGTACCATTGGGTTTCATTAAAGACTATTAATAGATCAGTTTCTGTAAATATATATGTATATTGGACAGATCATGCATAACTATAACTATAGTTCAATAAATAACTGAACAGCTTGAAAGCAAACTAATTAAATAGCCAACAAATTTTAAAAAATAAAGGCAATATAATAAAGACTTGACTGTACCCAATCGCATCAGTAAAATTCATGCAAGTCGACATATACCACCGACCAACATGCCTATAAAATAATACATGTTAATATCAATTCATTACCAATTATACCTCAAACAAAACTACTATCATTTTGTTAATAAACCATTCCAATTAACAAACTAATTATCAAAAAACATGCACTTAAATGTCATTCCATAATATTCAAACATACAATATAAAATACATAGCACTTTAAAACGGGGGTTAGGAGTACCAAAAAGCACACACACACACGCACAAGCACGGAAGGGGGTTAAGAGGGTTAAATTAGATTAATTTAAAACGAGTAAATAATGATGATTTGGGGGAGAGAAAAAGGGTTAGCGATAGCAGTATAATTTCCTCATTCCATTGTCCAAATCAACCACTCAATTGTTTTATAACAACAAACGAAACTCTAGAGAGATGGATCAAGCATAAATTACCCAGACAAAGATTTCGTGACTGATGCAAATAGTTTTCTTAATGGCGTACCAGACTTAATTTCGAGAATCCCACTGAAAATCAAGAAATTTGATAAGAACCCAAAGAGAATGAAAGAAGAGCAGTAGAAGCATAGAAAACTGTGATGTAAATTAAAATACATAAAACTGGAGAGGATTTTTATTGTTGTAATCAGTGTAAAAATGAGGTATCTGGTATATATATACACCCGTTCATATAAAAGTTAATTCATATTCCATCTGATATAAAACTTTGGAAATATCTCCACAATCTACTAGACCAAATACCAATAGCATGGTCGCTAGTAACTAACTTTGAAACGGATTTCAGATGTGGTGGCAAAAAGTCACAACCGGTGCTCATTCATATCAGAATTAAGACAATTTTCATAAATAGTACAATTTATTGTGAAACCATGAAAGTCGGATATGTTGGCAGCTGGACTCCGACATGGTGGGTCTAAAGGCGATAGAATCACCACAAGACCTGGAGATCCTAAGTTCCATTCTTCGTTTATAATACTTCATTGGCTGAAGTCAGTCGAGTAAGCCAATTACAACAACAGATGGAACGATTTTTACAAACAAGGTTAATATTACTGATAGCTAAAATAATTCCCCATCAGAGTATATTTACTGAACAATACAAAACCTTCTGAGGAATGGAAATACAGACTGAAAGTTGATAATCCATTTGTTAATATTTTCAGGGTATTTTTCGTAACGAAATGAAAGCCTTTGACAGTGTAACTGTTTACATAGTACAAAGTGCATTAACCGTTTAATAAACATACAAATACAATCAAAGAACATACTTACCCGCCTTCTCCATTTGCAGTATAAACAGTTTGTTCAGCGATAGCTTCAATATAATGTGCTGGATATATAGTTTGTGAGTTATTTGAATGTGCTGTTTGTAATAAACTAGTTTCCACTCCACTTGTTGGTGGACGATTACTAGTAGAGTCGGAAGCTATCGTTAAAATGAAATATTAATTGTCAGTATATTTCACTTTACCAATTTTACTAAGTAGGACATGTTGACCACTTTGTTGTAAAATTGTATGATTTTTCGGAGATAGATGAACAACGGTGGTACCTGGACCAGACGCTGATTGCATGGTTTTGATTGTAAGTGAAAATGTGAAAATTTGTGCACCTAAAACATGAAAATAAATTAAATCGAGTAATCTCCCCCAAGAGGATATACTAGTGAAACGTAGATCGGAATTAGATGAAGTTATGTGGACAGAAAATGAATCTGGGCAATCCGATTACGCCAAAATAAAAGGACACTTAATAGTTACGCTGAAGTAGATTACGATGGAAATAAATTACAGGGTATGGAAGCCACCATGTGAAAAATACAATAAAAGCAGTTTTAAAGTAATCTAATCATACTACATTGAAAAGACAGTCTCTTTTCTAAACATGGGTCAGTTTAGGTTTGATCCATGTATTACTATTCATGAAAATATACTTATAGTCATTAATAACTAGTGGACATGATGGAGACTGTTACAAATTTTTATGATTTCCGTAAACTTTTACTTGACCTGCTTCTAGTGCACATCTTTAGGTGTATCACATGTCAAACATTTCGGTGAGGTGCGCCTAAACTGATGAGTCGATTGTCTATAACTACTTAGCTATAGCAACGCCCACAACATAATAGCCAACAGAAACATGATAATTCTCACATCATAATCCAGTTTTCATGAAATAAAGGATCAATTTGTTATGTAATGGTTAGAAATTAGTCAAAATACAAGAAATTTTATTTAACTACGTTTCGAATTGTTGGTTAATTCACGAAGTCGCACAATGTGAAAACTATGATATTATGTTAATATCCTTACAAATGTAATTCCGTGCAGAAAGTCATAAGACAACCAAGGATCTGATAGTTATTTGTCTTTGAACTTAGAAGTTACCAGCACTAAATGGATGACCGTGGCCTAATCATAGTTACCGTAATGGGTAACTAACAACCAAGTAGACGTATTTACGCAAAAAGATAAACAACTAGGTCTTCTAGGATTCCACCCGACAACATAGTGTAAACTATTTACAGCAAATGCACATTGTAGATAGTTTATTTTTATCAAGTGACAATTCGGGAAATGTATGAAGAGAAAATCAAACTAGATAACTCCGTACGATGGATGTAAATAAAATATATTAATCACTATATACGGTTAAAGATAGTCAAAGACTTCCACTTTTTCTGAAGTACAATCCTACGCTTTAGTAGAGCTCGATAACAATTAACCCATAAAACTAGGCCTATTTCGGAGCATAATGTGAATGTGTCATTTGAACAATGTTATATCTAGATTTTGACACTCATCTGTAGCTATGCTCTTTGACTTGAAGGTAATGTTAGACTATCGATTGAAGCCATTATTTCCATAGCTATTAGCGAAAGTTATACAAATGAAGTATATTATTACAATGAAGACTCTAAACTCAAAACTTAATTGGTTCAAAATGATAAGGGTAATGACGACAAGCAGCCTTGTTTGACTAACATTACTTGAAAAAAGAGATGGGGAAGTTCTTTGAACAAATAAACACGGAGAATGTGTCACGAACTGGAGTAGAACAGTATTAGTGTCTTAGAAACGACTAATTCTCTGAATACGAGCTTTACAGGAAACTGCAGGTTCTCTAGACTGAGAGCTAACAGAAGCAAAGTGCTTAAGCAACACTCACTAATTTGTATGGTTGATAACGAAACCGGAATATTATTATTCCAGTTTGTCAACTGACAAAATATACTTTTACAAAACTCTAGACCGCTGAATCTGCACATGATTGTAGTATGGATAACCATTTATACTATCTATTGATGGATAAATGCCCAGGGATAGTGGTATACCAACCACCATAACAACAACAGTACCCAAGTCGACTTGCAAGCGCATTGATTTCCATCAAGATATGATAAAAGGTGAATTCCTAGGTAAACTTCGAGTAAGATAATCAGACGAAGCACATGAATCGTCCTTTATTCTTGTATTATTGTAACTAAAGTACTTGGAGTGTTGTTTGAGAACGAATTTCAGGTCGAGGATTGCAACACGGATTATTGCAGAAAAAGCTATTCGTGATGTTTAACTAGGTACAGAGAATTCTATGGAACTTTAGGAGCTTTCTATAAACCGGGTATACTTTGGAACCATACTACAATAATGAGACTCGTCATTCACCGTCCTGGTCAACAGTCACAAATATATTGGAAGGACTGGACTGATTATATGGCTACAATAGCTCGAAATATAAAATAACATCTATCTGACTTATTACATGTTGCTTGGACTTTTATTACTAGGATTACACCATTAAGGCCGCAAACTACTATTTAAATCATAAAATGAAAATCCCACCTCAGTTGACAGGAAACAGTCGCCAACAGCTACGGTGACTATGGCGCTCACTATGGCGGCAAAGCGTTATGTCAACGGTTGCCAGCGTCACAAAATATGACTTGTTTTAACGAACAAGTCATACAAACTCCTGATGACCATTGAGTATCTTTCGGAACACAAAAAACATTAAGTTATATAAGTGAAAGCTAAAATACCGTTTAAGACACAATACTTTTATTGATAATGTACAGTGTACAATTACAAAAACTCTCATATGGACATGAAAATAATAGCTTGGTGGTTATTGATGAGTTTTCTTGGCAACTTGGTGGCACCAAAATATAATTTCTGTCAACACTATTGTTTCATTGTGCTTAAATACAGAAGCTACACATGTTTTTTGTAGACTTTAATGTTAGATTATTATCTAAATGCAAGGAGCAACTAGTTTTCAACATGTAATGAAAGTAGGGCGAAGACGTCAGCATACAAGTATCACAATATCGGCCTGTCAAACGTTGATATTAAGGAAAAATCAAAAAGTGCTAATTCATGTTTAAAATTTCTGAGTCATATTAGCGAACAGCTAGAGCCTTTAAAGTTTAAAACTCTGGCCTAAAACATTACCAACCCCTTATATCTAAAAGCTTTAATATGGGTTTGTAAGTAGGTATACAGTCATATTGATCATTTCCGGGATTATAATTAACAATCAATATGGAGCCGATCAAACCATAGTAGACAAATAATCGGAAAAATTTCGAACTTCATTTTTAACATATGATTTCATATCAACATATAGAAAACAAAGTCTCAAAGACTTTTGCCGACTAGAGAACACGAAGTCTGATATAGAGAGGAGCATAAAATCGACAGGGAATGCGACAGGTTTTTAAACGTCTAGCTTTCGAGATATTGGTCTAATGATTCATCTTTTTCTACATAGATAATACTGAAAAAAATTAGTGCCTCAAAACTTCAACTTTTTTTATCGGTGGTAGCTTTTGAAAGTTAGGTCGCAGATATTTGAAGTTGCATTATATGACTTTCTAACTGGCTATCAGTAAAAGTTTTCACCCCATTCGTACTTATTTCTGTACTGTCAATTTTTTAGTGAAAAACAACTTTATCTACTAAGTATCTGTGTAGTCTCCTTTGCACACGGACAAATGCGGGTCAACACAATAATTGTGGCAGAATCCTCTTTATCAGTAGGCCTCAACATATACAAGGGAAAAAGAAAGATCCTCAAATACAACACAGAGAACACCAACCCAACCACACTTGATGTGAAAACTCTGGAAGATGTGAAATCTTTCTTGTAACTGAGAAGCATCATCTATGAACGAGGAGGATCCGATGCAAACGTAAAAGCGAGGATCGGCAAAGCAAGTACAGTACTCTTACAGTTGAAGAACATTTGGAACTAAAAATACTCTCTGTCAACCAATATCAAAGTCAAAATCTTCAATGCAAGCGTCATGACAGTTCTACTGCATGGAGCTGAAACTTCGATAAATACCACAACCGTCACCAAAAACGTACAAGTATTTCAAAAAATTGTCTACACAAGATACTCAATTTCCATTGGTCGGATACCATCAGCCTTTTGTGGGAGAGGATAAACAATCTTCATGCTAGAGTAAATTTGGAAACGACAATGGAAGTGGATAGGACATACATGACGAAAATCATCAAATCACATCGCGAGACAAGCACTTACTTCGAACCCTGACGGCAAATGAAAAAGAGGAAGGGCTAAGAACACACTGCACCGAGGATCAGAAGCAGACATCGAAAGAGTGAATCACAACTGGAAACAACTACGAAGGGTTGCCCGAGACAGAGATGAATGGAGAATGGTGGTGATCGGCTTTTGCTCCTCTCTGAGGGGTAACAGGCGTAAGTAAACAAATAATTTGTGTAGTCACCAGCACTATAAGATCTAGATAGTGACTAAATTTCTTAATGCTTGAAGTAAAACCAAATCAAACAAGGAGATAACAATAAAATGGCGGTGACTTCTGGCCGGCGATGGAGCGCGCAGTCTTATGCTTCGTGATACCTGCTAACTGACATTTCTCTTAACTTATGAATATTGTATTCTGAATCATCCAATATGGATGCCTGAAATCTACGTCTGAGATGTGAGGCTTTATTCCCTCTTATAACCATGATTTTTTTCACATGTCTTGCTCTTATCGGAGTTAGCCGATCCTTCTGCTGCACTTGGAACTACCAATGATGCTAACCTCACAGAATTTTTGCTGGCTTTATATGGACAAATTTGTGATCAGGTGTCACTAATAACACTCGCGCCTAGCACTTTTCAAGCATCTTTTGAAAAACACATCAAAAAACACTAAATGCTCTGATAATCAATAAACCGTGGTTTATAAGCAAATGAATATCCGTCATCATCAGGAGTCAACATTACGTCCACTAGATAATGCTTAGTTCTATATATAACTGTGCAGATAAATATCGATGGAAGAACTGGCCATGTTTTTATTGTTGAGGCAGCTTTCTGTTACTTAGGTACTGTGGCTTGTATGAAACGAATAGACAACAAAACGGAAGAATAAATTTTCTTCAGTGATAATTGATATAATCATTACTGTCCATGAGGAATAAGGAAGGCAGTTAAGTAGCGATAATACTCGAGACTGTTGTTACATGACTCTTCAATAACATGCGAGCTGATAATCACGGATAGAAAACCACCAATGAGTAGATCCACAAATGCCTATAAACCATACTAGAAGGTAGGATCCGCTCTCTCTGAGATGGTAAGCGACCAGAGTTGTTGAAGTTGTTGATGGGTAAGTAAGAAATGGAGATACTGGGAGCATGGGATCATCATGGTGGAAATTGAAAATTCGAGAATAATTTAACAGTCTGAATCTATGGAGGTCTACATAATTCAGGGTCCAACTGTCCACTAGCATTATAACTTAGAACCTAGTGTGAATGGGGGTGATCTTATCCGCAACGCAACCATGTAAACTTAGTGTATCGCACACTGTCATTTGTGCGTTCAAGTAACCACAGATTTTGTCATTTCATAATGTATTTTTAATTAAATAACTAGATTATGTAGTTAATTTTGCTTTGTTTTTAATCTTTATTCGCCACGTCTGACTGCGTTACACTGTACGTCCATTGCACGCTCGGATAATATCTCAAGTCATAGTGAGTTTATTCACATAGTTGATTGTTTCCAGATAGACTGTCAGTGCATGATTTTACTGAAGAAAGGTTTGTTGTACTGTAAACTACGTTTCTATGAACAACTGCCTGTTGTCTTCAGTATGAAAGCAGTATATATGTATCCTTCTTTTTTTCTTAGGTAAGTTCAACTGGCCTATATTTCGTGTTTTGGTTTTATCGGCTTAATTATGTCCATTTAACTACTTTGAGCAACGTGTCTTTGCAAGTGAAACAATAACTATGACACTTGCTTAGTTTAATGTTCTTGGTTGTCGTATAATTCAGTTTAGTTGAAAGAATTATGATATACTTAAGTATAGTGCTTGAAGCCTGTAACGAAACAGATCAGTTTAGTAAGTAGAGTTGCCTGTTTCCAATGTGTATACGGATTCAGATCAGTCTGATTAAAAATAGGAAAAAACATGCCTTTGATGCTGTTGCTGTCATACATTATAAGACAGCGATAAGTATGTTTGGTGTTTATTTCTAAATTGTACATCTATCACTGACCATATTTCATGGTCACTGTCATTAAACAATTTCCACAGCAATAACATCGGTAGCAAGATAGCTAAGTGTCTGAGCTTTTAGTTGCCCGCAAAACAGCAGTATACAGTCTTAGAAGATGAGTGTTCTGTGTCTCAATTAAATGCAGCTGGCTGTGGACAAATGCTAAGAATCTTTTTGACAACTGGGACTTTTAGTTTAACAGACACTTACCCTGCTTGTATGTTTTCCTGTTAAACTAGACGCAGATGCATGGGAATACTAAAGTGTGAGCAAAATAATAAAAGCATTGCAATACGGTACTAAGCCCATGTTATGCTTTGCGCAAGTAATAGTAGCTGACCTTATCTAATATTCATGAACTCAAGGTAAATCACAACTGCATAAATTCTTTGCTAAAAAACATGTGATTTGGTTATTTATCTATTCCACATTTCTGACTAAATTCATCACTATTTTTTTCATTTAGAATGCAACAGGAGTGAGCCTTCACAGGCCCTAGAAACTGTTTCGCCCTTGGAACTATGGCCCTATGAAACTGTTTACGGGAGACCCAACGAACAGCAGATTATGAAAAGGATGCTGGAAGTCCATTTTAGTCTCACAACCACTTCCAGTATTTTTTCACTTCTTTTACTCTTTCGTTTGGAAAGAGGTCCTCCGAATGGATCAGGCACAATAAATCACACACAAAAAGTAGAATCAGCAAAAGACCCCGTCATAGAAGGACTCATTGCAAGTGTTAAGAGTCTCACTGAGGCTGCCACCAGAATGCAAATGGGTCATAGAAACAGGAGCAGGTCACCACAACGACCACGATCCAAGTCAAAAAACAGGTCACAAATGTCCAGACAATCTGGGCAGTTTTGTTGGTTTCACTGGAAGTTTGTTATCAACTCAACCAAGTGCATGCAACCATGCTCCTGGCCTAAGCACAATTCTAAGACAGCGGGAAACGAATAACCCCTCCACAGGTCGCGACGACTGAGGAGGGGTGCCTAAACAGTCGCTTGTTTTATGTTAGAGACAGAAACTCTGGCTTGAATTTCTTGGTGGATACTGGCGCTGCTCTTAGCATCATCCCTCAAAATAAAACTGAGATTAGTCGAGAAACATCATCAATTACACTTCAAGCTGCAAATGAAACTAAAATTGCGACATTTGGGCAGAAAAATTTAACACTAGATTTGGGGTTCAAGAGGCAATTCCCTTGGGTTTTCACGGTAGCCGACTTAGATCTGGCAATACTGGGGATGGACTTTCTAGAGAGATACGAATTTCTAGTTGACACCAAGAAACGGCGATTAACACTAAAAGAAACTTCGTATTACACAAAAAGCAAAGAAAGTCACATCAGCTCTCTTAACTTGATTCAAACTCCAACAGTAACAACAGCGAAATTCCAAGATATACTCGCGGAATTTCCAAACTTAACTAAACCAAACCCACAGCCTTCCAAGGACAAACTAAAAGTGAGTCACACTATCAAAACCGAAGGTGCACCGGTGTTTGCAAAACCCAGGAGACTAGCACCAGATAAGCTCGAAATCGCTAGGGCCGAGTTTGATTATATGCTAAAATTGTGTATTATCCGTCCCTCTGATAGTCAATGGGCATCCCCTTTGCATATGGTCCCAAAGAAGAATGAAGAAGACTGGCGACCGTGCGGGGATTACAGAGCCCTAAACCGTCAAACCGTACCAGATAGGTACCCAATACCGCATATCCAAGATTTCACCAACGGTTTACAGGGTATGAACATATTCACTAAAATTGACTTAGTCAGGGCATATCACAATATCCCAGTGGCTGTTAAAGATATCTACAAGACAGCTATTACAACACCCTTTGGCTTATTCGAGTTTGTACGCATGCCATTCGGCCTGAGAAATGAGGCACTTCCTCAGATATTCTTATTCCACATTCACACTCTCTTGAAAGCACGCAGCGAACCGTCAGCGATAGTTGCAGAAGAGATCACATGCTACAAAATAAGATGACAAGCTAGTAAATGAAGAGACATCCATGGACTATCGTTGACAGCGTTAGTCGTAACTGATTGTAAGTCAAATAGTGAGCGAGTTGATGATTTTCCCTTGGGATGAGAAATAGAACTAAGGTGTTTTCGATAGATAGGTTAATCGAACCGACGTTCCTACGGAAGTCGATTCTAGGGGGAAGCTAATGTAACAGCTCAGGTTGGTTGGTTAAGAGTTGACCCCAAACAACCAAGCATATGCCAAAACAGTATTGTTCAAGTATTCATTCACTTCCTTATTTTTTATAAGCGTTATATTCCCTATTATCATATATTGAATGTTGAGAGCCTTTGTTTGTCTGGACAGATAATCCCACACTCCACTGTGACTGCGCAAAGATCGAAATGAAGACCTATTCACTACTTCTCTGGTTTTTTCCATCAATAGCACGAGGGTTACCTTAAGGCACGAAAAGTTAACTATCAAGATGCCCTAGGTTATATTCAAGAGGATTCAAAAGGACGAACAAGCGGCGATGGACTTGTTGGAGGAAACCCCATCAAGATACCAAAGAATGATTTCAGAAAGTGTGGGAACTACAGAGGCAGCACACTAATATCGGTACCAGAAAACGTTCTCAACCGTGTTCTGAACCAGATGAAAGACTCAGTAGACGCCCAACGTGGAGGTCGACAGGAGGGATTCCGTAAGAGTCGGTCATGCACAGACCAAGCTGTGACACTAAGGATCATCGTTGAGCAATCATCTGAACAAAACTCGTCACTGTACATCAACTTCCTTGACAACGAGAAAGATTTGGACAGTGTGGATAGGAGAGCCTTATGGGCATTCATTCGATAGTATGGTGTACGTGATAAGATCGTCAACATCATAACTAAATCATAAGATGGACTACACTGAAAAGTCGTGTTTGAAGAACCTCTGACAGATGCATTTTAAGTTAGCACTGTTGTCATGCAATACTGCTAACTTTCTCCACATTTACGAAGAAGCAGATCAGTTTGAATACGGCCAGAAGATTTGGAGTACGCAGATGATCTAGATATTTTACCACATACACAGCGACAAATGTAGGTGAGGACAGCTAGTGCAGCATCAACCCCTGAAGCTACTGGTCTCAATATACACCAGAGCAAAAGCAAGATCCTGATGTACAACATGGAGGATACTGATCGGAGGACACTTGATGGAGAAGCCCTGTTAGATTTGGAAAGTTTTACGTATACGAGCATCATCACTGATAAACGAGAAGGATCAGATACAGATATAAATGCACGGACTGGCAAATCAAGGACAGCATCTCTACATTTGAAGAGCATATGGGACTCAAAGCAATATATACTCTGGCTGGACACCATTAGAAACAACCTACTTTGTGAGAGAACAAACCAACAGTATCTATCTGTCAACATATAGGATAACCTGGCTACAAATATTTTCTTTGCTATATTCCAAGAGAAGTCGGTTGGACGAATATTTATTTTTCGAAAATAATAATATCTACTCTCAATGAATCAAGAAAACTGTATTATGCAATTACATGCAGCTTATTCATGAACGGGCTATGGTCATTTTGCCAAGTTGACCTATTATTATTTATCAAGTATTCGATAGGCTCTGTGAATCCTTCATGTTAGTGCATATCCAGCTTCAAGGATGATTTGTGGTGAGGATTCAGTTTTATTTCAGGATCACTACAAATGATCGATATATTTAAAGTCCTCGAAATAAGATCAGATAGTCAGACTTATCAGCAAACACCTTAGCGTGATATGGTAATTTGTTTGTATCAACATTGTAAATGTTGAAATGAATAACTACATGAATAGTTGTATTGTTGTTTTATTATAGTTACTTATAACTGTAAGAAGTAAAGCCTCATAACTAATAATTAGTTCATTTATCAACCGTTAATCCTTAAGATGTGTCACTGGTCACATTGAGTTTTATATTATTCCTAGAGCGAATTTGCTACAGACCTTAAAGATCCACTTTTTATTATGAAACTCATTTATTCTATCATTTTGAGTATAAAATATGTCATTTGTAGATATGGTTTATTAGCATGATTGTAAGATTTTTGGTTTTGTTGTAGAATCTTGGATTTTCGAGACGAGTATGTCGTCGTCAATGGAAGATTGTCAACTGAATAACAAACATATAAGTAAAATCAACCTATCGTTCTAATAGGATTTAATCTGGTTGGTGAGTGTTGGTGGGAGGCTTATGCTCATTCACGAGGAGTAACAGACTTAAGTAAGTAAGTTATTAAGCTCTGTCGGGATAAGGTTGTAGTGACCTACTTTTATCAAGAGAACGCGATTGGTTGAATGGAAACAATTATTATTATAACCAATTGTACCAGTGATTGTTTTACTGTACTTGTTTGTTTAACTGTACTAAAGACATTCTTCCTTCCGTTGGTTGTGACCTTGCACGAACTTACGTATGCTCAGTAGTTCCGCTTGTACTCCTTTGGCATGATCTCGGTATTCTTTCGATACTACGAGATCGCCAACAAATATATTTCGACTACAGCCATCAACTGCCTTCTGATATTTGACTTATCGGTTAATTGGCACATAGTCTTACTGTAGTAGTGATCATAGTCAACTGCGACTCGATGCCACACAACAAGGTTATTGACAATAAGAGAAATGAAAATAGAAGGAAACTTTCAAAAGTCTGTTATTCAAATGTATTATCTATAAAGCAATAGGAATAGCAATAGTATGTTCAATGTTAGTAAAAATATTGGAAGCGTACATGTTGAAAAAGTTTACAGAATATTAAAGAATACAACCGTTTTGTAATGTTTTCATTAGCTGGAATATTTTAATATCATGATAAAGTATAAAGATTTATGATGTCCGAATCTTCTTATCTATTTACGAACATTTATAAATGGATAGGATATACCTTCTGGTATATCAACATTTAAAAATTTACACAAAGGTTCCCAACCATCTCCAAGTTGATGTATTAAAAGACGTTCAGGTGGTACAGTTTCTTTTACAATTTTATTATATTCATCAAAACATCTAAGCATTTCTTCATCATTATCTATATCAAAATCAAGTTTACGAAATGCTAATTTCATTGAATCAATAGCCATTTGAATGAATTTTGGACCAAGTTCCAATATTTGATCAGCTCCATCTATGGTTCTATTAAATGAATCATTTGATTTTGGCATTAATGTTTGCCGAAAACTTGACAACCAATCATTTTTATCACGTATTGTTAATATAACCTGGTTAACATAACGAAAGAAATGAAGTTATTCAGTGTAGAATGTATTGAGGAAACATGTATAAGTGATTCGTTGTAAAATTAGCCATACATCTATACTTGTGTTATCTTGTAGTGACTTACTTTTATCAAGAGAACGCGATTGGTTTAATGGAAACAATTATTATTGTAACCAATTATACCAGTGATTGTTTTACTGTACTTGTTTGTTTAACTGTACTAAAGACATCCATTAATCTTCGATTATCCTTTCGTTGATTGTGACCTTGTACGCTCTTACGTTCGCCCACTGATTCCGCTTGTATTTCTTTGAAACTATCTCGGTTTTCTTTAGATACCACGAGGTCACCAATGAATATATCTCGTTACAACCTGAAACCGCCTTCTGATTTCTTGTAGTGGTGTTCATAGACAAACGCGACTCGACGCCACACTACAATCTATATAAGTGACTAATACAATTTGAGCAATGCACTATTCTTAAATAATCTTAAAATAACTTGACATTTTCATTATGTTTACAGAAAGGATAGAGAGTGTTAATAATTAAGATTTTGACTTGTAATGTAACTCACTCCGTAGATAATCTAATTGAGCAATTTGTCCTGTCAGTTGATCAATCGGAGTAAATTATTTGATTATTTCTACAATATGATCTGTGTGGTATATGCTATATCTATATATATCGAAATAAGTAGTATATAACGCTAGTCATGAATAGAATGTTTAACAGTTGAAGGTCAAGAAGATCAGCGAGGAAAGAACTGGAACAGAAAGCAATCGGTATGGAAATGCAGGAACAGTGAAATATGAGACAATTGATGGATATTTTACAAATCAAGCATTTACTGTATGGTTCTCATATTTTTGTGTTCAAACACATTTGCTTACCACAACTTGTGTTCTTGTTCACTACATTTGGTGTTACTGCCAATTAGGAGGGAGAAGGGTGCTGTTCTGCTTACATGGATGAGGGCCTGGAACTGGGGTGCTGGTTGGTGTTGTGTGTGTTGCTTATATCGACATAAGTAATATATAACGCTAGTCAGAAATAGAAGATCGAGAAGGAAAGAATAGGATCAGAAAGCAATTGGTATGGGAATGCAGGAACAATGAAGTCCGAGAGACCAACTAATATTTTCAAAAGAAACAGTTAAATTTGAGGCAATTGATTGGGATTTTGTGAATGAAGTATTTACTGTATAGTTCACAGATTTTACTAAGATGCTCCGTAATTTTGTATTAAAATACATTCAATTGTCCCATTTTCTGTTCTCATTCACTACATTTGAAATTGTTGTAACGACGAGGAACTCTCAAGTTCACAAATTATTAGTTAAAAAACCTTAATTTACTAATTAGTGGAGTGCATTGGTTGATATCGGCAAAATATAATGATTCAGCAATACAGATTGGTAATAATTTGATATATAATAATCATAAAGAAATAATTAGTATGATATACCTGAACAGTTATAATTTACATTTCATTGATTGAAATCATGAGTTAGACTACCCTGGGAAACCTGGAAGCACTGGATGACTATTTCGTACTAGTATAGGACTCCTCAGCAGTGCGCAGGCGCTTAATCAACTGGACCACTGAACCGGCCATCATCCAATGCTGTTAATGTCTAACTTCAACCAATCCACGAAGTTGCGCCACCGTACACCATTGTCTTCAGTGAGTTGATATCTCACAACAGATCTGGTTGAACTGCACTAGTAACGGCTTCTCACTAGAACTCTAGGAGTATCTCCTGAAGTTAGTCACTAGTGAGCAGATGATTAGTTGGTTAAGCGCCTGGCGCCAGACTGATAGGTCCTGGGTTCGAATCTCGCAGGTTGCGGGATCGTGGATGCGCACTGCTGAGGAGTCCCATACTAGGATGAAACGGCCGTCCAGTGCTTCCAGGTTTTCCATGGTGATCTAACTTCATTTGACTCATAATTTCAATCAGTTAAATTTTTAAAATCTCCACAAAAACCCTTCTCAATTTACATTTCTTAAATTGGATATAACCAATCTATAAAGATATCACTTACTAGAACATAAATAACTATAAAAATAATCACTTTTCAGAGAATAATGATGTTCCTGTAAAGTTAAAAATATAATCCAATTCTATGGTACATTTCAGTTTAATCTACTTGAAAATGAATGGTAAAACTTTAAGACAACAATTAAATGAAACCTTAAATATCATAAAAGTTGGAGAACTACAAAAGCTATCATGAAGAAGAATCAAGTGTTTACTAACAGTTGCCTACGCAAAATACTTCAAATCCGTTGGGCAAACATTATCAGCAACAACCTATTATGGGAGAGAACAAACCTGATGCCGGCGAGGGAAAAAATCAGTAAGAAGCACTGAAATGGGATAGGATACACATTGAAGAAAGCATCTAACTGTGTTACAAGGCAATTCCTCATTTGGAATCCTCAATGCCAAAGGAAGAGAGAAAGACCAAAGAACACATTACGCCGAGAAATGGAGACAGACATAAGAAGAATGAATAACAATTGGATAGAACTAGAAAGGAAAGCCCAGCACAGAATGGGTTGGAGATTGTTGATCAGTGGCCTATGTTCCATCGGGGATAACAGGCGTAAGTAAGTAAGTTAAACGTCATAAGGGAAATTAGCTTGTTAATCACGATATACAAACAAGTAAAATAGATGAAATAAGAAACTTAATAATCAAGGGGAAAACCAATGACAATATCATATCCCATGTATATGGGAAAGATCTTCTTACTCTTATCCATATACATACAAATACATAAGAAGAAGATTATACAGTTGATTTGAGATGTATGAGGATGAAGTGTCTTTACAATTACAGGTCAGATATTATCTGTTATTCTTATGTCTTATAGTAACTAAACTTGATGGAATATTTACCACCAACATGTTTTCATAGTTTAACGAACTTACTATGATGTATATAGTAATACAAGCAAGGATGTAATTGTCTAACATTAAAGCATACGGTGAGATTATACTTTATGGATAACCTTTGAGCAACATTTAAATGACCTTGAAATGTCCAGCAGATTACTAGGATTAAATGAGGATCATAGATTATTGTGAAGAATTAGGATTAGTATTTATGGTTGAACGTTAGGGTCAGGAATTAGATTTGATCTTTTCATCACGAAATGACATAAGCTATAATGTTAAAATGATATTTAATTAAATGAGTGAATGAATTTCACGCCAAAACTCAAAACCTGCTATCTTAAATATGCTTGGTTCTATAGTGAAGGGGAACACAGGTGTTAGGACAACCAGCTATATTCAGCACAAAGTTACAGGGTTTCTTGATAAAAAAAATAATAACCATACTCTAATAGTTTATTTGCGAAATGTTCATTAATCATCTCAGACTTCATTGTTCCTACATTTACATAACAATTGCTTTCTGTTCTAGTTCTTTCCTCCTTGATCTTCTTAACCTTCTGCTGCCAACTATTCTATTCCTGACTAACGTTATATACTATCTATGTTGATATAAATAGTACAAACCACAGTTTGTCTATAAATTATATTGATCGAAATCATGAGTCAATTGAAGCTAGACCACCATGGAATCTCGTGGGGTGCGGGATCGTGGATGCGAACTCCTGAGGAGTCCCATATTAGGACGAAACAGCCATCCAGTGTTTCCAGGTCTTCCATGGTGGTCTAGCTTCAATTGACTCATGATTTCAACTATTAAATCATAAAACTATTAACTATCTATTATCATGAAAAGCTTTATGATCCAAATATTCTATAGTAATGGACATGATAATACTAAATTGAATGATGAATAATGTGACGGACTATTGACTTAAAGTTTAATTATATTGAAAATTGATGTTACTTGTTGTTTGAATGAGGGAAGTATGAAATTGTAAAATTTGGAACCCATTATTTATTCCATACAATTGGTTTCCATTATGAATTTGAAGAAGGCTAGAATAAACAATGATACAGAATAATATGAATTCATCATATTCTATGGTTTCTTATCAGTTGCTTACAACCATTGGTATATATTATTAAGCAAAGATGAATGGTGGTTAGTAAGGGGAATCCAGTTTGACACGCGTTTCATCCTATTTGGGAGTAGACAGCTCGATGTACCTGCATCTCATAGTTGATTTTCACTCCGAGACTCGAATCTAAGACCGTTCGCTCAAAACATCATCCCGTTATCCATTTACATACTGAGTTGTGATAGTCACTTGGTTATGTGATGGGGTGAAATTTAAATTCACTTGATGTTGTTTACTTGAATGTTCCCATGGATATTTAGTACTGCAAATGATTAATCTCTTATTGGCTTATGTGCATCCTGTAAGGATTGCCTCGATATTGCCTTAATCAGAAGCAAGCGGCAATCAGGACTTAGTAACTAAGTGAATAACGTAATGGCGTTTGAAATGGGCAGTACTGAGTTCCAGTCTTTGGGTGAAAATCAATTCCGACATGCAGATACATCCAGCCGACAAGTCCCAAATAGGATGGAACCCGCGCCCTGGGTTCCACTGCTAGTCACTATCCATATTTGCTTATAATGCTTGTGAATTAAGGCAATATCGTGGCAATATGTACAGTATGCACATGTACAAATAAGAGACTGATCAATCGTACTCTTAAACATCAATGGGAAGATTCAAGTAAACAATACCAAGTCAATAAGTCATCAGATTTTAACGGTTGGTTAATCTTTAACAGTCATTTACATTATGTTGCAGGAAAGAAATGTGTCATCAATATATCTCTTTAGTAGAGTGTAGTACTTCGATTGCATCCTTGAGCTTCCTCTGTTCCAGGTTTCCCATAAATATATCAGCCAGAATCGAACCCAGAGGGCTACCCATGGCTACTTTATCAGTTTAGCGGTGTATCAATCATAAACATTTTATGTGCTCACTCAATCTGTTTAATAAAGCACATAAGGATATAGATTTCATTATGGAACATGAAGTGGAAGATAAATTCCCTTTGTTAGATATTGGAATTAAATAAACCTCAAATGGTTAATAACAAAGACACATCCACCGCAAAAATATGTGGAGTGGAGTTTACCACAATTACAACAGTTTCTATCAATAGATTATAAAAAGGAACTGGTACGAACCCTTTTTGATCGCACTCGTAAACGTTTCGCGAAGGAAAGACCGGAAGGAGAACGTGTCTTCACTAGAAATTGCCTAAGTGAAAATGAATATCCAGCGAAATTCATAGAAAGGTATGGCAAAACCAACGTCCGTGTTAAACACGATACAATGAAAAAGAAAACCTGCTTCCTATATTTTCTCGTCAAATGGATGAAATCATTGGAATAAATAACCACAGAATAAATGCCGTACTGAAAGTTACTTATCTATTAGCAAGACTGAAAACTTTACGTTGAACGAACCGTTCACTCAAACAAACAAAAATTGACGCCATTACGTTATTCACTTAGTTACTAAGTCCTGATTGCCGCTTGCTTCTGATTAAGGCAATATCGAGGCAATCCTTACAGGATGCACATAAGCCAATAAGAGATTAATCATTTGCAGTACTAAATATCCATGGGAACATTCAAGTAAACAACATCAAGTGAATTTAAATTTCACCCCATCACATAACCAAGTGACTATCACAACTCAGTATGTAAATGGATAACGTGGTGATGTTGGAAGCGAACGGTACTAGATTCGAGTCTCGGAGTGAATATCAACTGTGAGAGATGCAGGTACATCGAGCTGACTAGTCCCAAATAGGATGAAACGCATATTCTTGATTCCACTACTAGCCATTATCCATCTTTGTTTCTAATGACTTATCTTGTAATATATGCTCAATCAGTAACCGTAGCCTAAAATAATCTATATTCTACTAGATTGTAAAAATCAATATGAGGTTGTAGAGCTTATCAAGTTTTTGAATAATATCATGAGTTTCTTGATGTTAGACTACCATTGAAAACCTTGAAGCACTGGATAACCGTTTCGTCTTATTATAGGACTCCTCAGAAAAGCGTACCCAAAGCCTTCAGTTTCGCGCTCCAACGCTTAACCTCCAGACCACTAATCCAGTGGCCTCAATTTAAACAGATTATTATGCCAGTTATTCGATCATGTTTAAATTACTTGAATAGATTATGATTTAATTCATGTGATAAGAAAGAAACAAACTGGTATGATTATTATCCGTGATAAGTTCATATGGAAATTGACAATGTAGATACTTAAAGAATGATCTAATGTTTTAATTTCTCATTCATTCTAATTAACATGCATATAGGTTATCACAGAAGTATCTTTCATGTAGTTCTAAGAAACGAGGAAAAAAAAGTGTCATATGTAATGCTTGTCTTATACTTTGTATGACTGAATTCTATGGATTAGTAGATAAAGATAAACTGTCGGCTACTATCTATGTCACTAACGTTTTAAATATACATCAAGGATTATTGAATATACATTATATTAATTACTTCTATCTTATATACAAATAGTGACTAATCACTTATTCTAAGTAAATATTACTTGCTTTTACCTGTTACCCTTCATGGAGGAGCATAAACCACTCACCAGCATTCTCCATTGAACTCTGTTCTGGGCAATCCACCTGTTGCTCTTTCAAGCTATAATAAAGGAGGAGGATTGGGCATGGAGTAAAAAACTCCATCCTGTAGAAAAGAATCTTGCTAGAAAAGAAACCCTAACCAACTAAATATTAGTTGTATTTTATTTGAAACTATTCTATGTGGACCATTGACCATTCAAGTAAATGTATAGATTCTTTCATGAATTGACACAAACCTTATCATTTAGATCAATAAAAGATCATTTTTATTTTGTTGAATATTCGAACTACGTATAATGAATTACATTCTTTCCATCATTTTTTGTTACTGTTCAGTAGTATGATCGCTGAAGATGTAAACAAGGATCACACCAACGACCTTTAGGACTTCTGATGATAATGCTTCCTTCAAATCTTTGTCAGTATTTAGTTGTGTGCATTTTGTAACCATAGATAATAAATAATATAGTACTGTGATCATCAAGGTACAAGTATTTATAAATAGTTGTCTATGCAAGATACTCAACATCCATTGGCCAGATACCATCAACAACAGCTTACTGTGCGAGAGAACAAACCAGCTTCCAGCTGAAGAAGAAATTAAGAAAAGATGATGGCAGTGGATAGGACATACATTACGGATATCAACAAACTGCATCACAAGGCAAGCCCTAATTTAGAATCTTGAAGGGAAGCGAAAAATAGAAAGGCCAAAGAACACATTACGTCGAGAAATAGAAGGAGAAGTGAAAAGGATGAATAACAACTGGAAAGAGCTGGAAAGAATTGCCCAGGACAGGGTTGGATGGAAAGTGCTAGGGGGCGGCCTATGCTCCTCCACGAGGAGTAACAGACTTAAGAAAGTAAATAAGTGATCATTATTTGACATTAATGAGGCCTTCCTTATCATCGATAAGGTAAGGTCAGACAGGTTACATATTGCTCAATAAGCAGACAGATCATAGTTACCATAAGTTTTAGTTATCCTAAGGCTTTTAATACTAGGGAGTATATACAATGTGTATTTCAAATAAGAATATGAAGAAATTATCAAAATGTTGTGTTTCATGAATAATTTGACTAAAAAGAAACGAAGATATGTATATCTTTTTTTATTTGATATTTGTCCAGTAGTCAGATTCAAGGTGTTCATTCTGTTTTAATGTGGACCTGTTAGATGGTTGCACTTCCATCCTACAGACGTAGATCCTGGCAACACATTATCCACTGTGCTGTTGAGTTCAGGCGGCCATAAATTTATCTAATGTATATGAAGATATTTGTAAAGGTTTACAATCGGTGGCTGTCTGAGTTCATTAACTTGGTGGATAATGTGTTGTTGATTAAAACAATGGGAAATTTATTCAAGTCTCAGTGTGACTAACAAAGGTCAGGGTGCTGGTACATCTAGCAGATGAGTCTCAAATAAGACGAAACTCACTATCTGGATTCCACTGTTAACTATATACCTCAATGCAGACGGAAAAGAGAAAAGCCAAATATTACCCTGAGACGTGAATCGGAAGCAGACATGAAAAGGATGAACATCAATTGAAAACAACTAGGAAGGATTGTCCAGGACAGAGTTGAATAGAGAATGCTGGTGAGCGATTTACACTCCTTGATGCGGGGTAACAGGCGTCAATAAGTAAATAAGTAAATGATATATCAAGTCAATCCTCTTAGAATCCAAATATGAGAATGGAAACCGGTTAATTATGGTTTTAAGTAACAACAAAAGGAAAATTACAAGTTCTTAGTTTGATACAAAAGGATGTAATTTTTATACTGTATATATATATATAACCAGTGAAAGTGAAGAGATACTGAAAAGCCATTTTATTGTAGTGTAGCAGTTCTAATTCATATCTAATACAAAATTCTCAAGCTTGCAAACCTTATTAAAATAAACAATGAATTGTCATGTATCAATTTTGAAAGTTCTAAGAAGCTATTGAAGACAATTGATAGTTCAATTCATGAGTCGGTTAAAGCTAGACCATCATGGTAAACCTGAAAGTATTAAATGGCAGTTTCGTCCTAGTATCGGACTCCTGACCAGTGCACATTCACGATCCTGCTCATGGGATCCGAAAGCAGTACCTTCGGTCTTGCGACAAACACCTAACATTTAGACCGATTAGCCGATCGGTATCCAACGGTGTTAATGTCTAACTTCAATTAATTCACGAAACTACGCCACCCCACCATCGTTGTCTTCTGTGAGTTACTGCCACATAACAAACTTATGAATTCAACTATACTCTCTACAAAACCCCTATCTGTTATAGGATGATATTGTTTCTTAACTTTAGAGATGATGGACTTCTACATAAAGTTTGTGCTGATGATGTTGTTAAGATGAACAATAATAGCTCCATGATCAAACCAATCAATGGTTAAGATCATGAGTCAGTTGAAGCTAGACCACCATGGTAAACCTGAAAGCTCTGGATAGCCGTTTCGTGCTATTATGGGACTCCTCAGCAGTGCACATCCATGATCCCGCACACCGCAAGATTCAAACTCAGGACCTATCAGTCTCGCGCCAGACGCTTAACCAAATAGACCACTGAGCTGGCCGGCATCCAACGCTGTTAATGTCTAACTTCAACCAATCCACGAAGTTGCGCCACCGTACACCATTGTCTTCAGTGAGTTGATATCTCACAACAGATCTGGTTGAACTGCACTAGTAACAGCTTCTCACTAGAACTCCAGGAGTATCTCCTGAAGTCAGTCACTAGTGAGCAGGTTTTCCATGGTGGTTTGACTTTAATCGACTCATGATTTCAATCAGTGAAATGTCTAACATCTCCACAAACCCCTTCTGATAAAATTTATAAGTAATAAAAACAAAAAAATTCTTATTTATGATTACCTTAGCATTTGGATAGATCTCCATCAATTCTTTATGGAATCCACACGCTGGTACATCTGTCACTGTTCCATAATTATTCAATATATCTTTTAAACCTTGATGAATTATCATTTCATTTGATGGTTTATTGTTTAATGCTTCATTAAATAATCTTTGCCATTTCTCAATATCATCATGTTGTTTTGTAATAATTTCACTCATATGATAACATGGTTTATGATAAATAATTTCTAATGCATTCTTTAAACTTTTTGTACCAGTTCTTGGTAGACCAGCTCCAATAACTAATAATTCATTTGATGAGTTTGACATATATATAATACTAAACAAATATATGAGAGATGTATAATGAAATGAAATGAAAAGATACTACTTATATACTCATTAGATGAAGGATATTTCAGTTCAATAGTTCACTGATCATGATAATTATGAATGATTATGTAAAGTAGATTATAAAAAAAGAAGAATTTATGATCAGTATAAGGTTGTGCGGATTGTTAAGTTCTTTTGTTGTTAATTAAAATCATGAACCGATTGATGTTTAAACCATCATTGAAAATCTGGAAGCACTGGACGGACGTTTCGTTCTATTGTGGTACTCCTCCTTGACAGTGGGAATCCACAATCCACAAGCTAAATAGACTATTAGTGATCATCAAGGTAAGTAAATTATTATCAGAAAGGGGGTTTTGTGAAGATTTTAGTAACTTAATAGTTGAAATCATGAGTCCATGGCAGCTAGACTACCATGGAAAATCTGGAAGGACTGGATAGCCTCTTCGTCCGATTGTCGGGACACCTCAACAGTGCGCATTTACGACCCCGCCTGGCGGGGTTCAAACACAGAGCCTATCGGTCGCGCGCACGAACGCTTAACTTCTAGATCATTTGGCCAGCTGACATACAGCGGTATTAATGTCTAACCTCAACCAATCCATGAAATTACGCGACCATCTTCTATTGTACTAAGGTGGATACCTGTCTTTACCCGACATGGATTAGCTACATTGGTCACGGCTTCTCACTAGAACTTCGAGAATTCCCTCACGAAGTTAGTCATTAATCAGCACATGCTAATTATTAGTATGGTGTTGTGGCGTTGGGTTCGAATCTTGCGGATGGGATCGTGGATGTGTACTGCTGAGGATTTCCATAATAGCATAAAAAGGCCGTCCAGTGTTTCCAGGTTTTCCATGGTGGTCTTACACCAATCCTTAAACGATCTCAATCAAAAAAATAAATTTATTGCTTGATCATATATGTATTCAAGTTACATATGATACTTCTAATAAGAAATTGTACATCGACAAAAACTGTTCTTTATAGGATCTTATAAACATAAGGTTTTCATTTGGTTGATATAAATATTATTAAGTGTATGAATAAAAGTTTCGGAGGAACTATTCAAACATTAACATCGTTGGATACCGGCTGAATGATCTGGAGGTTATCTGTATGCATGCAAGAATGAAAGTCCTGGGTCCGAGCCCTACAAGCAGAATCGTGGATACACACTATTGCGTAGTCCTATACTGGTAAGAAACTGTCGTTCAGTGCTTTCAGGTTTTCAATGTTGGTCTAGCTTAGATCAACAAGTGAATTAAACTATTAAAATAGTAGTATAGTTAATAAAGCACGATCAACTGAAAATTGCTTACAGTTTAAATGATGGATAATAATTCAACAATTAATTATCAATGGATCAGTAGTCATTATATAATATAAAATCATAAATTCATGCTTAATATGAATTATAATAGTTGAATTCATGAATCGATGTAGCTAGATCATCGTTGAAAACCTAAAAGCACTAAATGGCTGTTTCGTCCTAACACGAGTCTTCTCAGCATTTCGCAGCCGCGATCCCGTACTTGGGATTCAAACTTTGAATCTTCGGTCTTGCGCGCGAACGCTTAACCTTTAGACCAATGTTCTGGCATTTAATGATGTCTAATTTCTAAGAAATCTCATACTAGAACGAAACAGCTATCCAGTGCTTCCAAATTTTCAACGGCAATCTAGCTTATACTGATTCATGAATTCAACTATTAAAAGAAGGAAAAACTACTTCAATCTTCACAAACCCCATTCTAATCATAATATAAATTAATTAGGTAGATGAAAATTCAGCATTAAAAAAATTTCATTATTATACAAAGATGAATAATGATTAGCAGTGGAATCCAAGATGTGCATTTCGTCCTATTTAGGACTCATCAGCTTAATGTACTTGCATCTCAGAGTTGATGTTCACTTTGAGATTGATTATTTACTACCAATTTAAGTAATAATTTCATTCCTATTTATAGTTTGTTATTATATACATAAGTACAAAATATAACCGTCATTCTGAACAATAAGCTTAATCAGTGATAAAGGTACAATCTCAAATAGAATAAATAAAGAAATTTAGTTGATAAGTGCAAATAGGTAACTTTACAACAACAAAAAAGAGGAAATCAACTCACTAAACTCTAAGTAGGTACATAAGTGTAACTGGGTTCCTTTCTTTTTTTTTTCTTTCTTTCTTTCTTTCTTTTCATCTTTCATTTTATAGAAATGAAATAGTTGATAGGGATTTTTCATAATAGATTCATTGAGTTTATATGATATTGGAATAGTATAATATAAAAGAATGGATTATAAACAAATATGGATATTAGCTAGTAATGAAATCCAAGACGTGCGTTTCGTCCTATTTAGGACTCGACAGCTGGATGTTTCCATGTAGCTTGTGATTAAAGGCTATATCGAGGCAATCCACACAGGATGCACATATGCTGACATGAGATTGATCAATTTCAGTCTTAAACAACAATGGGAAGATACAAGTAAAACAATACCAAATGAATGGATTATAGTTTGAAAAAAGTGTTCGACTTTGTTTTCTAATTTACTTTCGTGGATTGGTTGAAGCTAGACGTCATTATTGTTAAATGAAGACTCAGTGGTCTAAAGGTTAAACGTTTGCGCACAAGATCGTTAGGTTTCGGGTCCGAACCCCACGGGTCAGGATCGTAGATTCGCACTGTCAAGGAGGAGTCCCATACCAGAACGAAAAGACCATCCAGTGCTTTCAGGTTTTCCATGATGGTCTAGTTTTAGTTGACTCATGATCTCAACTTTTAAATTACTATATTATCCACAAAACCCCTCTCTGTTTCTGATCATCATGTATTCATTAGTGACGGTCTTCAAGAGGTATTTCCTGGAGTTCCACTGAGAAGCAGTGACCAATGGAGTTCAATCAGGTCTGTTGTAAGATAGTAACTCATTGAAGATAATGATGGACGGTGGCTCATTCTCGCGGATTGGTTGATGCTGGCTGACTCAGTGGTCTGAAGATTAACCGTTTTCGCTGGAGGTCGATAGATCCTGGGTTCGAATCTCTCTAGGTGTGATCGCAAATGCGCACTGCTGAGAAGTCTCACAATAGAACGAAAAGGCCATCTAGTGTTTCCAGGTTTTCCATGGTGGTCTAGTTTTAACTGACTCAATAATTCAACTATTAAATTACTAAAATCTCCACAAAACCCCCTTTCTGATAATAATTTATTTACCATGATGATTTGACCTGTTATCAATGATCTATTTAGCTTGTGTTTAACCTCATCTTGTACTGAGGTTAATTTACAACAAATCTATGGAAATCCTGCCTGTTAGCTGGAAAATAGTTATATTCTATAGACATCAAGTCATTAATATGGTGTTCAAAAATGTTACTTGCAAATATAATGATCAAAGTGAGGCTAAAGTGCGCAATCTCAATGAGTCTGTACAATGAAAGGGGTATATATATATATATATTACAGTTACAAGTGAGGGTAAGGTATACTATACTAACGACCTTGATCGGTTTAAAGAATGACTATCATTAAAGTGAGGCCATTGAAAGTTGAATACAAACAACTGAACATCTGATTTAAGAGCACCTTAGAGAATATGATCCTAATTTTATCAACATTTGAACGGATAGATCTAACTGCGTAATGTATCTCTCAAATGGTAATAACAAATAAACTGGACGATGAAAATGGATAAACATTGATTTAGCTCATTAGGTATGAATTGGAGTACCTGTTTGGAGGCGGTCTATTTGAATATCCAGGCTACGTTTTCCTGCCATCCAGATACTTTGACAAGTTACTTTACTTTTGTTTGCTTTAATACATCATTATGTCACATAACCTATTCAGGTGCGATTATGGAACGTTTACGACCTTCTTCTACGCACGTTACAAACAAGTATAATTAGAGACATCATGATGGCTAGCAATATACATAGAAAAGAATGAACATTATTTAGATGTTGATTCTTGAATTGTTAACATCTAACTAGTGATCACTCAATAGTTATCGTCAAGATTGATCAAGAAATAAGAAACAGAAACTTGATGAAATACTTTGTTCTGAGAATCCTATTGTTGGGTGGCGTCGAGATGTATTTGTTGGCGATCTCGTGGTATCGAACTAATACCGAGATCATGCCAAAGGAGTACAAGCGGAACTACTGAGCATACGTAAGTTCGTGCAAGGTCACAATCAACAGAAGGAAGAATGTCTTTAGTACAGTTAAACAGACAAGTACAGTAAAACAATCACTGGTACAATTGGTTATAATAATAATTGTTTCCATTCAACCAATCGCGTTCTCTTGATAAAAGTAGGTCACTGCACTATTTTGTACCTACAACATAATATTGAATAATGCTATTAATAGTAGTATAATAATAGTACAAACAATTAACAATAGGAAGGACAGATTCATCTAGTTTTCTGTTTAATACTTTAGTGTTTAGATAATCACGTTTTTACGGTAGAATACAATGGATTTTCATATAATAATATGTGATTATTTGTTCAGGTCAGAAAACATTGACCTCATGAAATAAATAGTATATACTCTTAACTTTTTCATCATTAAAGGGTTTTCTGGCTGTGACTTTACTATGTCTAGTAAGACTCAGATGAATGTGTGCTAAAACTAGAGCGTGATCTGAATCTAAACACGTGCTCTAGAATAAGCGACAGCCTTCAATCGAGTCCTTCCAACTGTGGTTAATGATAATGTGATCAATTTAGGTCTATCAGTTAGTTGATTACTGCGGTCGTCATGTCAGACGATGTTTCTCCTAATATTTAAAGCTGGTGTATGCCAAAAATAGATGGTATTCTGGGCATAGCTGAAAAAGGCTGTCATCATGATCTTTTTATCAAGCTGCAATACCTCAAGATTCGCTTAAGTGCCTTTCGTTTTGATATGGTTTAGTTTACCTTTTAGAGCATTAAAATCACCTGCCTCGATTATTAAATCATAGAGTTTAGCCTTTTAGAAG